TCATGTGAATAGGAATACTAGTTTCCGCCTAACAATCACATTATCAAGTCCGTCACGCATCGGCCCACACAAATAAACAAGCATCCTTGTACAGTTGTAAACACAACAACGCATCTGTTTGTTGTGCTGTATGTTTGTGTCAGTTGTGTACTGTGAATGTAAAATCCATATAGTCTGTTGTGTGTGTGCGAGTTGAGTTCCCTCACTGGGGATTAATAAGCGTTTCTATCCAATCCAATGTACACACACACACACACACACACACACACCAATGCAGCTCAACCGGCGCAGGATACAAAGACCTCACAGCTGCGTGTGTGAAACGATCCGAGATAAACGTAAAACAAAGCGTCGGGCCGGCCGGCTTCACGGCGAACACAACAGCCTCGCTGAGCGCCTTAGTCACCGTCATTTAAGGGCCGCGGCGATGAAGCGCCGGAGCGCTCCGGCATGATCTCCTCCAAACGCCCACCGGCCCGTCCGCCAGCGCGCACCACACGGTCATTACACGCACTACAGCGGCCCACTTCAGCCGCCCTCTGCGCCTCTGCCGCCGACTCTGCTGTTCCCGTGTCACCTAACAGACATTCTTCTCTGCTGTCGTCACTCGTTGGGGAGACAAGGTTGCTGCTCCCCAGAGAGCCTCGAATAATGGAAAGCTCACCTCCTTGTCGTTGTTATCTGCGATAATTACACAGCGGCGGTGCGCCGGGAGCTGTAATTGTGTTTCGTTGTTTTTTTAATCTTCCACCTCTGTCAGACGCTCTTTCTGTTAAATGGAGCGAGTGTTGCACGATACAGAAAACGGACTTCCAAGGATAAATCTACCAATTAAAATCTAATTTTATTATTTCATTCTGGTTTAATATTTTGGATAAATATGGAGAGCAAACATGTTCAATCAAGTACAGTGTGTGTGTGTGTGTGTGTGTGTGTGTGTGTGTGTGTGTGTGTGTGTGTGTGTGTGTGTGTGAATGCACTGGCTCTCCGGCAGTGGAACGTCCGACTCGCTGTCTGTGTCTTCATCCTCCAGCAATTTACTTTGCATTTCTAATAATCCCGTCGCGTATGCCGTGAGCTCTCTGGGAAGTTATGGGAGCTGATTGCTCTTGATTATAATGAGCTCTTGGAAAATAGATTTATCTAGACATATTATTTCCCAGGGAAATATCCACTGCCCAGCGTTGTGTCTCCAATCAGACCCACAGGCCTGACAGCTAATCAGCCGCGTGGTTAATGAGTCTCCGTGTTAAAGCAGGCCTCTGAAAACCTTTTAAAGGGTGAGGAGATGACATCCGAAAATGAGCTGACCTGTTAGAGAACAGGATCCCACTAAATATTATCTTCTTTGACAATGTAAAGTGCAATTTAGATGACACAGTCGCTGTGGAATTAATGCACGGAAGACAAGCAAATTAAATGATGGAAAAACAAGTGTGAGTCATCGGTATTACTCGGTATTATTATGTAGGCTGTAGCCGCCCCAAATAGGCGGACAGGTTGTAGCATGTGGGGGCCTCAGTCGACGCTCAGCATCACCATGACCTCTTCGCACCGGCCACCTACAGCACACCTGCAAAAAGCCCATCCTCCCACATCTACACACACACACACACACACACACAGACGCAAACAGTCATCTCAAATGCGAGGCAACCAAGTCACATGCAACTTCATACTTCATCCACCCACTACACCCCCCCCAAACTAAAAATGATTGTTTATCCTGTTTTGTGGCTGCTGACATTTTGTCCCTGTCTCTTTGAATGGTTGCTGCAGTGAGCCACCATAATTAGCCTTCCGGAGACGGATGTGCACTCTAACCTGATGATCCATGCCCCTTATATTCCCAGAGGCGTGTGTGCGTGTGTGTGTGTGTGTGCGTGCGTGCGTGTGAGGAGAAGAACCGCTGACTTCAACAGCTGAATTCTTCAGCCTGTCAAGGAGCACATCTACTTAATGATATCACTACTGCGTGAAGATGTGTGAGGTACAAACAGAGCAAAGAAGGGAACAAAGAAACACACATTCCACCATGAGCCCCCTGTGCTGGTTCTCATCTTCAATGTTTAGTTCCACGCTCTCAAGTCTGCCTTGAAGTAATACTCACACGCCCAGATGATTCAAATGTAAGCGATGAGGAACAGAATCTACAGTCTTCTGTGAATCTTCTGTGCAGAAATGCATTCAAAAGCCATTCAAAGTTTGGCTTCAACGGTCTGCAGAATCAAGTAGCTGGCCTCCACAATTTATTCTTGGCGTTTTATCTTTGCTCTCATGTCGCAGTCAGGATCAAACTGGGAGCCAAATTAGCCCTGTAGCAGTCTCATCACCCCAACAGGATTTACGCAAACACAATTATCGCCAACGTACAAACTGACGTGTTACATTCACCTGAGTCCCAGCTGGATTTGGACAGAACAGCAGCACTCAAAGCCAACGTCTTGATAACAGGAAATGATCTCACCCGTCTTTCCACCACACCGGCTTTAGAGTGGACGTATGCTAAGCTCAATGCGTTGACATGATACACCACTCTAAACCACATGAGGAGTAGGTTTAAGCCACCTGAAGGGTAGTTACCGGGTGGCTCTATTGACAGTCGCCACATGTATAACCTGGCAGGTGGACCATGGCAGCAGCCCGGCTGCTTCATCTGTCCAGACTCTTCTCCTCCTCCTCTTCATCTGTTATTGCCATCACTTCTGCAACAACGCCGGTTTGGGAAAATATATGTGGAAAAAATACATTTTGTGGCATCTGCCTCAATGTTATAAAAAAAAAAGCCATTCTATCCATTTAATCTATATTTTCATTTGATTCTGCTCTTTCTGAAATCAAAGCAGATGTTTTACTAAAAATCCTGTGAGATTATCAATCCACTCATTGGCCAGATGTGACTGGGAAAGGAGTAAGAAAGGTACAGTACAGAAAGAAAGGCTTGTGTTTTGGATAAGTGCAAACCTGTGATTGAAACACGTTAAAGGTAATTTAGCATGGAGCTACAGTGGAGTTGGTTTTCACTCGGGTCACTCCGGTAATATTGGGGGCAAAATTATACCAGGAGGATGCAGAATGCACTTAAAGGCCTGTCCAGGTTTGAGCTGGCTTCATTCTCCGGCTAGCTGCTGCTACTGCTGCACAAACTATAATTCTAATATATAATTTGCATCCTCTGCTGCACACTATAAAGAAAAGCACAGCTGGCTGCTGGAATAGTTTGGCTCTAACTTGCAAACTACACCTGCTACTCGGGCTGGATCACATTCTTACGACTAACAAGGCGCTCCAGAGTCGACGGTCTCAATGTAGTTGTTTTCCCAAACATCAAATCTAAATTTAAATCTAATTTTTTTGCACCAAAAAGTGTACATGTGAAAAAGTCTTAAACTCATTTTTCTATTCATGCTCACTTGCACGGATCCTTTTAAAGTTCTAATAAGGTGATTTTTTTAAACTCGTGCCATCAGATAATTATAAAAGTACAATTAGTTTAATATGCCATCATTTTTGCAGTTGCAAACAACCTGTAGATGCTTGTGTAGAACCTCACAGAGCTCCTCATATTGCAAAATAATAGTACATTTATTACTTATTGACACATTGCATCAATATTGTGATGCCACTAATGTGTAACAACCTGCCCAGGGACCTTCGATCAAAATGAGCTGATAGCGAACACTCAACTGTGGTGATAAATAAATGAATACATTTAAGTTGTGTTGAGAGCACGAGATAATGAAGTTGTTGCCAGAAGATACCAGCTTTGCACACAAGATAAAGTCATAACGCAGGACAGTCATAACAGTTCTGTGAGCTCCTAACGTGTGGAGTAAGTTATCCAGGATCTTTTTTTCCCCTCAAATCTTCCACAACATTGAACGTGGAGCATCGGCACATCTGTCCAGAGGGACCCCCCCCCTTCATCTGTTTATATGCAATGCAAACACACATGCACATTCTCACACGCTCCCTCTTTCTCACAGACTCAAACACTCACACATGCCGTCAGCATGCCGGGAAACCAGCCGAATGCGAGCACGCACACGGCTGCGTTGGGTGACGTGAGCGATATGCCGGGTGAGAGACTCCCGGGAGAACCATTTAGCTTCGTGAGGAAAGCGCTGTTCACCTGCCTTCCTGACTGTCAAAGGGAGGCATTTACTTACACTCCATCTGCAGGAGGAAGCTTTATTCTCTATTCGCCGCACAGATGATGCGCTCCTCTGTTTTATTCACCCATTCCCCGAGACTTGAGCAGAGAGAGGGAGTGAGAGAGCAGTTCAATCAGCCCCACGTCTTCTTAACAACGCTTACCGCGGTAACACAAAGCAGCAAATGAACCGTTACTTCTCCGCTCCACATGCCTTGCATGGCAACTGCATTCATCATACACAAGTGATGTTAGAAACGGCCTCTTTAGGCAAAGCCACGCGTCTGATTTAAAGAAATGAAACATCTCAGAATGAAGAACTGCTCCATTCATCTGAGAACCAAAAGATATTTGTGCGTGTTCCATTTCGGGCCCATTACGTTCAGAACTGAGCTCCTTGTTAATCTCTTGCAAAGGTCACATTCAAACGACCAATGCACATGAGGACTTGTGGTTCCGGACCTTTTCAAACCTTCACGTGGATCATAGTTAAAATGGCTTTGTGATTTGGGGACCCGCTTAACATGAGATCACGTTCGAATGCAAATTGATCGTTTGGGAGGTTTTACCCAAATTATACGGATCGTAAATCTGTTCAAGGAATCACATTGTGGCTTCTCGCCTTCCTTGTATGTGCAGAATATGCGGGTGAAGACGTGGTTTAGGTGTTAGTTACTTGGTAAGTGTGTTGGAAATTACTAAGTCAATGTTGTGTCCCAAAAAGTCAGGACTTTGGAGAATGTTACATTACAAGTGTGTGTGTGTGTGTGTGTCTGTGTGACGCTGCAGTCCAACAATACATCATTCACCATTCGCTAGACGCTTTAAATTGCTGTGGAGCCTTGAGACCAGTTCAGAAAATCGGTTTTATTCTTTAGAGAGCCTTCTTCCCACCGTTCATCATCATCATCATCATCGTCATTTTTGTCGCCATTATTATCGTAACATTATACAAAAGGCCAATACTGTATCCATAACAACAAGAAAATAGACAAATATTCAAACAGGTCAATTTGCACAACATATTGTCTTAAAGTACAACACCTAGCATGACTTAACTATGTTTGTTTTATTTATAAAAATAATAACATTTGAAATGAAAACGCAGTTTCACTGTGTGTTGTGTTCTGTCGTCGCCTGTGACGTTTTTTTGCGATGTTTCTAAAGATGCAGCACGCAAAGCTCATCCCGTGGAAACCTTTTTTCTCAAGCAGTTACACCATGTGCGTCGAAGCCAGCGACCCGAGCGCAGCGCTCATACAACATAGTAAAAATAAAGTATGTACATGAAGATGGAGTCCATCACACATATCTTCGCGTGTCCCTCTTGCACAGAATCTTCTTGAAGGACCTCCTGAAGTCATTGTTGAAGATGGTGTAAATGATGGGGTTCAGCGCGCTGTTGCAATAGCCGAACCAGAAGAAGAACTTGAACAGGGTGTCGGGCACCGGGCAGGACTCGCACAGCGTCATCAGCATGTACGTGAAGAAAAAGGGAAACCAGCAGATCACAAACACGCCAATGACCACGGCCAGGACGAAGGTGAAGCGTTTCTCCCGGTTCTGGCGACCCTTCCAGCGGCTGCCCTTGGTGCTCGACGGCCTCTTCTGGACGCCGTCGTCCCCCGGTTTGATTTGGCTCGGTTTGGTTTTCCCCTTTGCCGCTTTCTTTTTGATTGAGCAGGGATTGTTCACTTTGTGGTCAGAGGAGGATGACTCCTCCAGGTCCACCCCGTTGACCTCGTCCTTCTCCTCGTCTGCGCCTCCTCCTCTCACTCCCTCCTTCAGCTCCATGCCCTGCTCGCCATTCAGCTTCTCGTGGCACAGGCGCTCCTCGGCGTCGCCGTTTTCCTTCTGGTTTGCGGCAGCCGCGGTGGCCGTCTTCGGCACCTCTTTCCGCTTCCTGTCCCCCGGTGGCGCCCGAGTCCTCTTCTTGGCGATCTGGTAGATCCGCACGTAGACCAGCACCATGATGACGCAGGGGAGGAAGAAGGAGCCGATGCAGGAGGAGATGACGTACCACTTGTCGTTATTGATTTTACACACGGGCTCCTCCTCGCTGTTTTCTTTCTCCATGGTGATGAGAGGCGGGAAGGAGATAACCGCCGCAAGGACCCACACAATGAAGATGATGCACTTGATGCGTCGCGGCGTCCTCTTCAGGTTGTACTCGATGGCCTGCGTGATGGACCAGTAGCGGTCTAAGCTGATGGCGCAGAGGTGAGCGATGGAGGCGGTGCAGAAAAGAACATCCAGTGCCAGGTAGATCTCACACCACACCTCCCCAAAGTACCAGTATCCCATGAGCTCATTGGCCAAGGAAAAAGGCATCACGAGGGTCGCAACCAAAATGTCCGCCGACGCCAAAGACACCAAGAATAAGTTCTGGGGAGCTCTCAGGGACCGGCTTGTAAACACCGCTATGACCACCAGCACGTTGCCAAACACCGTCAGCGAGATCATGACTCCCACCAGCACAGTGAGCGGCAGGGAGATCCGCAGGCTGTAAGGGGCCACGTCTGGAAGAGTCTGGTTGGTCTCGTTGTCAAACCCCATCGGAGGAGATTGGAGCCGCGTCCTGTGCGAGTTGCCCTCAGGTTAACGAATATCATCACCAGGGTGGAAAGTGCTAGTAACTCACAGCCGGGCCGTGAAGGGAAGGAACTGAATCACTCCTCTGGGGCTTTCCCGGATTTTTGCCTTTCATCATGTACGGCCTCCTCATGAAGCTCTTATCATTTATAGTGCTGTCAATTGATCTGAAAATAAGAGGCAACCAGAGGAGAAATCAGATCGCTTCAACGCTATTTACACTTTTCAATCAATGACGACGTACTTCACGTTAGTACAACTAGGATAAGCTCAGCTCAGCCAGCTGTTGAATAGCTTTCAATTAAATAGCAAGTAAAGTGCATCACGTTACCTGAGAGCCGGAGAGCGGAGACGCGCGGGCATGAAAAAAAGGTGTCCGCGGGTAACTTCTTAGAAGCGATCAATGGGAAGCGGGTAGGATCCATGGGACGGATCGGGCGTGACGCGTCCCCTCCGTGCCACCCCCTCCCTCTCCCCCCTCTCCCCCCTCTCTCTCTCTCTCTCTCTCTCTCTCTCTCTCTCCCGACACTTCGCTGGCGGTGCTGCATCCAGCGGCGCTCCGTCGCGGACCTAATTGAGCGCTAATCACGTTATCCCGGGCGCTGCCTCCTGCGCGCCGATCGCCTCCTCTCAGTGTCAACCGGTGCGCCACTCCCTCCCTTTATAGCCCGCACGCTGCAAAAAGTGTCCCGCTCACTGCGGGCCGCTGTGCGCTCCCGGACCGTCAACACGGAGCGACATGTGGGTTCCAAAGGCACGAGGCGGGACGCGTGCGGAGGAACTGCGGGGGAAGAAATAATAAAATACGGACCGTCACCAGGGAGAAAATAATGTGTTTTTTTTTAGTGTTCGGCGTTACAGGGTTTCTGTAGTTGTGTTACTTGGATAAATGATACAGAGAGAACTGAGTACGGGATCGTGGGGCGTTTAGGGGGTGAAAGACAATAAATAAAAATGCACAACAGAGTTATAGTTATCATGTGTTTGTGATAATTAACTGCATACCGTCACCTTTAATTTCATTTTCCATGAAAAGGGTGTTGAAAAACGTGCTGGAGTCCGTGTTTGGTTTTTGTCAGTATCTACTTGATTTGTTCCTTAAATTGGTATCATATGGTATTTTTGAAGCTTAGCTAAAAACAATAAAACACGAATCCAAAGGCTCAAGAAATAGACAATAATAAAAGAGTAAAGAAGAGGACCTGCTTTGACAGATATTTTTTGCAGTGCAGGTGCTGTGCTCCGTTGCTAAGCAGCAGGCAGAGCCACACCACGTGGATATCAAGAGGGGCCATTCATTTCTTTTCCTAAACTTTATTAATTTATCCTCCTTTTTTTACACTCCACCCAGGAGGGAAACGGACGTCGGGAGCAAACATCAGACTGATCCTCAGACCGATATTAGATGCTGAAAGAAAACGTCTGATTAAGTACTTTGCGTTTACAGATTGGAGCTGTGACACAGTCAGCTGCAGGATAACATTCATCCTACTTAACTGAGGGGTGAGTTAAAAAAAAAGCACAACTAGATACTAAGCTGTTAAATATGTTTTTGATGAAAAACAAGCTCTATGTATACTTTCTTCAAATTATATGGTGCTGTATGTGATGAAAGTGGACTGGAACTGTATGTTCCAGTAAATATACTGGAACATACAGTTCCAGTAAATATACTTTAATCATATGTTTACTATATGTTTTTTATTGGTTGGTTTTGTTGCTTAATAACTATTTAACATTTAAAAAAGCCCTGACTCGCATGCAGTGACACAATTAGCACTGTTTGCGGTCTTCTTTGGTAAATTTAAAATCACTCTGGGAGGGCTGCTTGGAGGAGGACATTCCTGAGTGTCTGTGGGGGACGGTGGACTCTTTGACATCAGTCCGTGCTGGACATGGTGTACACGGCCCAGTGTTTCATCCTCTGGGTCAAGTGCACTCTTTTTTGTTATGTTGCATCAATTTAGTGCCGTACTCTTACACACATTTCCGTCCTGTCTCTGTCCAGCGTTATTCATTTTCAAGATTTCAAAAGGCAATTTGACATTTTATCCTTTGTGTTGCCTCCTCGTCTTTATCCACATTTGGGACCAATCCTGCCACTCAAGATCAATTGCCCAGAGAACTTAAAACATGGGGGGGCTTTAAATGGACAGGGCAGAGGACCACAGACCGAAGGCCTGACTGGAGACAGAGGGGCGGAGCTTCAGACCACAGGCCGACGGCCCTACGGCCTTGGAGACGGGACCGCTCTGGAACTCGGCCACGCAGACTCAAGGTCAGGGAGGTCAACTGAGGAGCAGCTGTAGAACACGAGGGCAGAACGGCAGCCTGGGAACGCACGAGCGGGAAGCTACTCAGGCTCGCTGGCCGGGTGTCAGCAGAGCGAGGAACAGGTTAAACTCACCCTAAGGAAAAATTCTCCGGTGTCATCAGGTGACCGGGGGGGTGAATGGACAGACAACAGAGGACATTTACACCTGAGGGCAAATTAGAGTAATCGGTTAGACTAAGCTGCAGATGGGACCCGGAGAGAACCAATACAAATTTTGGACATACTTTTTGTTTGCATACTGCATTCTTCATAGATCTTGAATAATTAGTACATGCACATTTTGAACTTCAAAGCATGATCTTATTTTTAAGATTAAGACATTTTGTTGGCAAACTATGATATATTTTTGGGTTTGACATCTGCTATTTTATTTTAGTAACACTCTCCAGTGGGGAGCACGGTCGTCCTCCACTTGGAGGGTTGGCGGTTCGATCCCAGGCCTGGCCAACCTGCCTGTCGATGTGTCCTTGGGCAAGACACTTAACCCAACATTGTACCTGTAGCTACAGCGTGTGGATGTTAGTTACTGATGGGCAGGTGACTCTGTGTATGGAAGCTCCTGTCATCAGTGTGTGAATGATGTCATGTAGTGTTAAAGCGCTTCGGGTGGTCGGCAGACTAGAAAGGCGCTTTGCAAGTACAGTCCATTTACTATTCATCTTATGTTTGTTTTTTTAATAATTCATTTTTAGTGTTGTGCATACCAGCATAGCAGATATTCATCATGGCAAGATTTGATCGTGTTTTCTGATTCTTTTCTACTTTCTCTCTTTTAAAACTGACATGGTGTTGCATGCATTTCTACAGCTACTTTCAATTGACTTACTACGACTTTTGGGGGATTTATGTCGAAAAAAAGTAATTGCATATATGTACATATTTAAATATAATGTATCATTCCTGAAACTTTTCTAACATATGAAAAACGTGCCCATTATTACCTCCGTCTGTCATACAAGAGTGAGCTTCCTGTTCGGCACGAAGCTGAGCAGCATCCCTCACAGCACAAGCCTCCCTCTCCTCCCTCTCCTCCCTCCTTCATCTCGCCTCTCACATTTGTAACTGGAAAAAAATCCTTCTTTTGGAAAAAAGAAGAAGACATACCTGCTTACTGGATTACCTGATGGTGAATGGCGATATGTTTCTGGGAATTCAGCGATCATATCAGATCGTACTGGTAAAATGACATCGCCGGCTGCAGCCGCCGGACGGACCTCTCACGGACTGTTTTGGGGTAAACAACTGTTTGTCGGGACACTTGTTGATGCATGAGGGTGCGGACCAAGCGCAAGTGTACAGTGACACCTGTCGTCTCCTGCAAGAGACCTTTTTTTTATTTTTAGGGGGATGAAGCCATGAGAGACGGTAACTACGAGCGGCTGCGATGATGTGAGGACTTGGATCGACCGGCAGGGGGCGGTGTTGTCCTGGAACAGAAGCGGTGGAAACACGGGAATAAAGGTTTTTCTAATCTGTAGGTGTAGCAGCTCAGTAGACTCTTAAGATCACATTTAAGATCACACCTTCACATGCGTAACAATGGAAACATGGCTCATCGGTGGGAACAGGAGCACTGATTGGGACAAGGGCACGGCTTTATTTGATCTGTGAAAAGTTTGTAACTAAAAAAACACTACACCTTTGTGGGGTTTTGACATGAAAATAATCTAAATGCAAACAAGTCTTATTTGTGTGCAAGAAGAGCTACATACAAATATATATACATACAAGTATAGTCGAATTGGTGTTTTTGTTGATTTTGTTTTTTCAGGGATGCAAATTTGGGGACAGCAGGCACTGAATTTCCCTCCAACGTTGAAAAGGTTCTGTGAGAATGTGGACAAAAATCTTCCCAAATTCCCAAATACTTTCTGAAAAGATAAATACCAAAGACTAATCCATAGACGATAAAATATGTTTTAAAGTTTAAAAGAAATCCCAGTTAACTTACACATCTCAAAATAATTAATATGTACCTTGTTTTAATACTACAACGCATAATTTGAGAAGTGTAACACATCATAAATTTGTAAATATGTATCGATTTATTACAGTTAAAAAGATGTATTTACAGACAGAACATCACCAAACATGGTCATTGTCACTCAGTTGCAGAGTACTAGTTAGTTGGAGCTCGTTGGTTTTAGGATAATTGTCTTATGGGGCGGCGTCGAGTTTGTCATATTCAACCAAGCACAACATTATTTTCCTCTAATTGCCAAATGATACTTAGTAGAGGTACACAACCAACATAAGACAGAAGGCAGCGTAGTAAAAACCAACTGTGGTAGAATCGTCATTACAAATCCGTGTTCCCGCTGGCAGCTCGGCACACGGGTAGAAACCCCTCAGACTGGACCTCCGTCCCCGTGGTCGGTGATGGAGACTCACACAGAGGCGGTCACGTCTCCATCTGCTCCGCCAGTCAAGAGACAACTCGACCCAAACGCTGCTCAACCCGTGTACGCGGATCCCTTTACTGACATTGAAGGCGGAGAAGCAGAGAAGTGATTGTCTGTCGTACAGGTTTGAGGCAGTCAAGCCAAATGAACCCATACAGGTGGAGTGCGGGGGGGGGTTCAGGTGGGAGAAAGCTGGACGCTACACATTAAAAGAGCTTTTCCACCAAAAGTGGACATTTCTGTAGTTCTATGTGCTCTGAAGATGAACGACACGTGTTGCTGGACCCACAAAAATGTTTGTAGTTGTAGCTGAAAACAACGGGCAGAATCTACATCTAGTCAAACGTTTGGACTCAACTCCTTCAATTCAGTGAGAAGTTGGGTCCAAACGTTTCACTGCGTAGACGTAGAAAGTCCATCAATATCAAGACTGTTAAAGTTGATGTTACATCATTTTACTTCCTCTGATTTTGCTATGTAATTACTTGTGAAAAACATGAAAACAAATAGTTGGGATTTCTCTATTGACAAAGCTCCACCTTTACAGAATAAAAAAAGCAAGTCAATTTTGGTGGAATTGCCCTTTAATGCCAAAGACAAGTGAGACGCAAGCTAATGCGTAGCAAAATGGCATTATCTTCCATTGCACTGTCTTCATGTAAAACTCATCACATTACAGATTTTGTAATACTGAGTCTACCGTAACGTCAGGTCACTGTACAGAGTAAAAGGAAAAAGACAAAAGAAGAAAACTAGACCCAAATTTACATTGTAACGACCAGTTGCTTGTCATCAAGTACAGTCAGTGGCCATAGACACAAGGAATAGCCAAACAAACACATACAAAAACATCATTAAGGCTGCTTGTCAATGTCGATTAAGTAGGATAAGCATTGCCACACAATGCTTCGATACTCTTTGCAATATACAAAAAGGGAGCATTTGCAGATACACCAAATAGCCACTAAATCCAAGTCCTCTATGCAAAAAAAAAGGCCCAATTTGGACCCGGGTAAATTACGTGTACTGTGTCCAACATGCTTGTTTCCTGTAGCAAATAACAAGGCAAGAAAGAGACACGTTGAATGACACAGATTAAAAAGCCAAAGGAGCGAAATGACGTTGAGTCCGCGATGCTCTCCACTGCCTAAAACCAGACAATATAAAAATAAACACCAATTATATTCCAATTATTTTGGATGCACCAGTATGCAAATTGTCGTCATCATTTTTGATCCAACAGTCACTCCTTTGACCCCGTCAGAAGGCGACCTCCGTCTCCTCCACGCCGCATGTTAACTACATTCCAGGATGTGATAAATGCTCGCTGGTCGATAAGCGCAGGTCCGTTTTTTGTCCCACCTCCCGTCATCCTCTGCGTCTCTGTACATTGGCATCTTGCAAAATGGCACATGAAAAAACAACTAAAAACAGACTAATGTAAAAATGGGCCGCAGCGCTCTCGCTGCATACCTAATGCACGTCTCGCCTTTGAGTACTCGTTGAAGGCATTTTTCACACAATTGTTTACAGCTTAAAGTAAATACACAGAAAAAAAACAACCTTCCAAAGCTTTTATAGGAAACCCAGGAATGCAATGCCTCCGATGTGTTTGTTGGTGAGCATGAACACAGAAAGCCCTTTTTACACTTTTTTTTAATGTCTTTTGCCAACAGTCTTGTACTGTAACTGCGTTACGCTCACATGTGCACCTCGTTGTGTTGTCTCATCGTTGTGTCCAATTCAAGCTGTGATCGGTGAGAAAACCACCAGGTGGGGATTTTTGGACTGAAGTCCGTATCGGTGTTGGTTTCTCCGGCCTCCTGCCCGTCCTCGTACAGCGGGTTTCAGTCCACGAAAAGAAGCAGCGTACATGGCCCCCCCCCCCCCCCCCCCCCCCCCCTCCCTCCAGGCCAAACCACAGCCCAATAAAACACACCAAGCTGCTGCTGCGAAAACAGTTGCCAAACAAGAGGATCGTGATTGAATATAGAGGTGGAATGCAACACATAAAAAAAAAAAAAATTCAAAAAGTTGTTTGATTACATTTCGTTGGGATTTTTAATGTACAGTCACTTGAAATAATACTAAATGAATACACATTTCATCATTTAGAAAAAAGAAAACACTTCATACAATTTGTTTTAAAATGAACAGTGCTGATCTGAACTGCAAAAAGCCATTTCACTTGCAAGTAAGAAAGCAGGATATGGGAACTTAAAAAAAAAAAACATCTCCGCCACAAAAACCTTTTTACAAATAAGAGAGCAAATTCCTTTTAATTAAGATCGACAGGATACAACTTCCCCAAAGTCACAAATCTGAGCCCGCTAAACTTCACATTTATATTTGATTCAAATTGGACACGTTAACGATTGGTTTAACTGATAAAATACTTTATGAAACAAAATGTCCCATTTGAAAATAACCAATAAGAGGGTGCGGTGTATTTATTCAATATAGAGGATGCCAATGTATCTGTTTTAAAAGTGCATAAGAGCAGCAGCATTGCTGGGACAGTGTGGGACAAATGGAAAGAGAAAATAATATATACATACATGTATACATATAAAAGTATTGATCTAAATAAAGTGAACATTTTCCATCATGTGATTCTTAGGAAAACCTGTCAAAACAAAAAATATTAAAACCAAATACGGAAGTGTTACCTGTCGATGATTTAATATCAAACCTTAATCGAAGCTCTAAAACACTCACCTGCTCAAGAGACCCAGATAATGTCTATATGCTTGATATGTTGGCCAATGATCAATAGAATGACAGCTATGCAGCCCAACACTGAAGATAATATCAAACGAGTAAACAGAACTAAAATTGCACTCAAGGCAACCACCAGGATTTGTATACATATATAAAAACATCTCATTGTGTATCCCATCACCTGCGTAGGTTTGACTTTTTTTTCAATACCTTTTTTCTTTTTTTACACAGAAGCAATATAGAGGGGGGGGGGGGGGCTGCACCTACCATTTCAGAGACAAGCCCAACTTGTTTTGTAAGCATGTGTGATTGGCAGATTTCATATGTGTACATTACTAGCGCAATGTTTAACAAATACTGCTGCCTTTTGTTAAAAAAAAAAAAAAGATCTCAGTTCACCAATTACCTTATTTTACAACTGATATCGCTTGTTTTAACAGATTAATGCAACAGCAAAAGGAACGCTACAAATAAAAGAAAAAAAAAAACTCAACCGCAGCAATAATCAAAAAAAAGTTTTGAAATAATTTATATCTTTGCATTCTCATAGACAATTGTGTTTAGAAATGAACCACTGGATCACTCTAAATATAGGCACAGTATTTAAACATAAAAAATGTTAAGAAAAGAAAGTATAAACAAGCCGTCATTAGACCTTTGTTCACTGTGGTCAACAAGCAGTTAACATAAGTTATCTTGAGCAAAGGTGATGTTAAAGGAAGTGAATATCAAAAGAAAATACATCAAGACGACAAAGTTAAAATCCCCGCCAGCCAGCAGTAAATGTGAAGTCCCAAAAAATGGTTTTTTTGCATACAATTGTATCCCTTGCTCACATTATAAAATGCTTGTAATTACGGTAAATATATTGGGCAATGGGGATACAGTTTTATTGGGTTAAAAGACTTTGCCACTTAGCTCACAGTTACTCAATATATATAACGTTATATATCTTCAGTTTTGGCAAAGAGATGGAAATATTTTCCTCTTGTATGATTCAGAACGAAAGGGGGGGGGCAGGGAGTCCTAAAATGACCCAGATCTCTGGGGTGACTCAGAAGTCAAATCCCCAATAATTTGCCCCTTTTCTATTTAAGGATGATGAAAGAAACATTTCCCTCCTCGTATCCGCCCCCGCCACTGATGTGTGGCGAGTCCGTGTTCTTTACAGGTCACGATGCACCTAATGGGGGTCGGGCAGGCGAGAGGGTTTAGAGCGAGCGGAGGGCCGGGGCCGAGCCGCTCCCTGCTCAGACCATGGCGCGGTACGGCCCCTGCATCTTCAGGAACTGGATGATGAAGGAGGGGCCCCCCGCGACTATCTGCGGCGGCAGGTGGCTGAGGGGACAGTTCTCGATGCTCATGATGGACAGCTTGCTGCAGAGGGCCAGCTCGAACGGTAGGCTGTGCAGGTTGGGATTGTCGTTGAGGTACAGTTCCTCCAGGTTCTCCAGAGTACCTGAGGGCAGACGGCAGTTAGACCAGGAGGCCCCCCCAAGGTGAATGGTCATATTTATTAAACATCATACCCATAAAAAACAATAAAACATTTTTCACACGTCAGAATGTGTGTCAGTGGAACATCAGGTACCGGGTATGCCGCACTGTAACCATGTGGAAAATGTCATTTTAAATACGTAAAAAATTTACCTTGATAGATATCACATCATTTTTAAAAAGCTATGCAGAGGTTAAAGCTCCTCGGGCAGCAAAGTGACTTTGGGTTATCCAGCTTGTTGAAATGGTGCAAATTAATCTGTTAGTAAGCTTCTTGTGCTTTGCCATCAGTTGCTACGGACGCGAGTTTGAAATGTGAAAGGGGGAATTGTAGGAGTGGTTTACACAGCCACATCTATCAGGAAGGCAAAGATACAACTAAGCAGAACGGAGTTCTATGAAGATTCTTGATAGGAACCACACATTGTGGTCATCATTTAAGTGGGATATTTTCTAATAAGCTTACCCGACCTATGACATCATTACTACACAACCACCACTGGAATCAAACTACACAGAGAGTGTAATACTCACAATATAAGTGCAGCCTAATCTTTATCTGCAGCTGTGCAGAAAGTTTTACAGTAAAGTTTCACAAAAGCTGGACTTCTGGGTCCAGTCTGAAATCTCTAAAAATACATCCACCTACAGCTTGTTCTTCTTTAATCTCTGAACTAACTGTGACTCTGACGAGTGAAGCTCTGCTGCACCCAATCGCTCAGAACGTGGGGGGGGGGCGGGGGGGGGTCAAAGCTGGGCGCATAGTTAAGCTCTTAAATCCCATCTGTTAAGTTGGGCTTTTACAAGGGAAACAATGTTACATTTTGAATTTCGAAAGCTACAACGAATATGTAAAATTGTCATTTAAAGAACTCTTCAAATATTGATGACAAAAATAAAAACAGATTGTTGACAGAATCCTGCACCCAAATTCAAGATTGTGTTTTTAAATCAAACCCGGCAGCAAGAATTTCCTTTTCCACTCTTCTCAGAGAGTTGTCCCACTACGAAGCGTCCCAGGACCAGCTCCGCCCCGGCGGCGAGCAGTAAGGGGCGATAAACTGGTACGTCACTGATCCACGGGATGCGGGATTTGAAGGACGTACTTACCGATCTCCTCTGGGAGGTGCTGCAGCAGGTTCTCCCCCAAACCCAGATGAGTCAGGTTGGTGAGGTGGCCGATGCCTCTGGGTAACGTGGTCAGCTGATTATTTGTCAACACCAATTTCTGATAAAAGGAGTAAGAACCCAGTTTATAAAAGTACTTCAGGTTTGTTGAATGAGAATAAAATTACAAATAATGATTCACTACCCAGTTTTATCCATCGCTAATAATAATGTTTTATTTCTTACAGGCCTCATCAGCCATGAAATGAAGACGAGCCACAACCAAATACCTTCAAATTCCTTATAAGAAGAAACGGTTGTAATAGAGGTTTTATCCCCTTACAACAGATTAGGCATTCTGTAACGTGTGAGTCAGACAGAGGGAACGGCCTTTATGGAAAACGTACCTGGACATCTTTCAGATAAGCAATTTCATTAGGTAGACACTCTAACTTGTTCTCCTCCAAGTCGAGCTCCCGCAGCTTTCTCAAATTTCCAATACCGTGTGGTAACTTCTTGAGAAGATTATTGGACAGTATTAACACCTGTGAAGACAACGATAGCTGTTCAGAAACTGGGGTAAAATGAAAAAAAGACGACAACGCCATTTTTATTGCCAAGTATTATTTTACACATACAGGAAACTGTTTTCTGCATTTAACCCTCCCACACAGTGGGAGCAGTGGGAGTAATGGGAGCAGTGGGCTGCCGTAAAGGCGCCCGGGGAGCAGTTAGGGGTTGGGTGTCTTGCTCAGGGACACTTCGACATGGGACATGGAGCAGCCGGGGTTACAACCGCCAGAGAGACGGTCTAACATGTCACAGCAACAAAGATAACTGGGTTGCTCTACAAACATTCATATTTAACAATTATTAAAACATCTTTGACCCACAAAGGGGTTTTATACTCTTTAGCCATATTCATAGAGCTGTACTTTCAGCAAAATCGAATTATTTATTGCAGGTTTGATAAGTCTTTGCAGTAGTTGTCCGTTTTTAAAATCAAAGTAAAACACGAGTTAGAGTTGCTAAATATACATCTCTAATCTTAATGACACATAAAAAAAATCAATACAATTTCTGTACTGAGATGTTCCTACTGTGCGTGTGAATAAAGGACTCACCTCCAGAGAGACTAAACCACACACGTCCTCTGGGATCTTTGTCAGCTGATTGGTTGCCAGGTTAAGCTCAACCATGCTGGTCCATGTGCCAAAGTCCAAAGGCAGAGACGTTAACTGGTTGTCCTGAAGAAGACAATAGCAGACCGGTATGAGCCAAGCGGGGGACGATTCAGAGTGAAGACGAGGACAGTGCTGTCCACGAGGCTCAGCAGCCACTGACCGCTCTGTTACCTGCCACTGCGATGAAAAGGTCCCAGTGGAGATCCAGACTACACCCAGTATCGTATAGTATGAGGCCAAAACAAACCTCAACAGGCCGCCTGACTTCACACCAACAGCAGAGATAAAAAAGAGCCGCTCTACGGTGTTGAATTTAATTGGCACAACTGGCGTGTAACACGTACAATGAGATGCAACTAGCGCTCATTGGGAAGAAATTCAGCTTCTTTCTGAATTTCTTCCCAATGGGACTTTCAATCTCCCCCCAACTTTGACAATGACACTTTAAAATGATACACACAAATTAGGTTAATTAAAATTCCACTCTGAGGAAGATTTGAAACTATACCTGTCATTCCTGATAAAGTATAGCTTAAGTACAACAAAAAGATCTAAAAGTCAGCACACAAACACGTTGAATACAAATATATAGATATACAGACACACACGGCACGTTTTTTAGATATACACACACACACACACACACACACACACACACACACACACACACACACACACACACACACACACACACACACACACATATACCTTCATGTTGAGCTTGCTTAACACTTTGGCCCTGGAAAAGATGCCAAAGGGGATCTTGTTGATGCGGTTGTGCTCCATGTTGAGGGAATAGATGGTGGAGAACTGGGACGGTCCCCCCACCGGGTACGATTGGAAGCAGTTCCTCGCCAATGTCAGACTTGTCAGGTTCACCAAACTTGACAGTAGACCCTGGTGAAGCACAGCAAACGGACTTGTACTAGTGGAGAGTTTTTCTAGTCCTTCGACCACTCAAAAGCACTGCAGGTCGTCATTCAGCCATTCACACACACACGCTACCATGCAAGAGCAAATTATTGCGTAAATTAAAGTATTAAAAGCAAATTTATAAAGAGATTTACAAAAATGTACGCATTTTTTAAAAGAATATCCAATCAAATCAGTCAGGCAGGCTTGTATCATGTAGACAAAGAAATGACATGCCGTGGTGTACAAAAGAATACACAGAAGATACAGCTATGTATTGAAATACAGTATAGACCTGTTCTAAAGGAAAGGTAGCCTTAAATGACTTCTGTTACATGGCGCTATATAGAAATTTTAATTAAACCAATTAACCAGACTTTCTAGAGCAACGGTTAATTAATAACATAATTTGTCATCAAAGAGCACTTGTATTTTTAAAGAGCTATATTTTAATCGTTTCCACTAACCTCTGGCAACACCGAAATGTTGTTGTTTTCCAGGTTCAGCTCCTCGAGCTCTCGACATTTGGCTAACGATCGAGGGATGGCCGACAATCTATTGTATCGAAGACCTAAGCGATTTATGCTTGCCAAGTTTCCTACAACGATAAAAGAACAAACATATCCACAGTTACATTTTTTACCAAAAGACAATAACTCCACTTTTGTCATAAAATACAAACAAATTACCTATAGTCTCCGGCAGGTCCAAGAGCTCATTGTGCTGCAAGTCGAGGTTGGTTATCTGTGTGCAATTCCCAATCTCCTTCGGCAGGTGCTCCAGCTGGTTATGGGCCACATCCAGAGTTATGAGGTTGCATAGCTCCCCTGCAGACAAACGGACACAGAATTCATACATGATGTAATCCAAGATGAAAGCACTTTCACTGACGCACCCTCTGCTGCACCGAGGAAACGCGTTCACTCATCTCATTGCCTCTTCACGTGGCAGCGGGGCGAACCCGCCGTGGTATGAAGTGTTCTTTTTCGTAACATCAACGGCCGAGACAGTTCGGATAAACAAGTCCAAACGGACAGATATCTTCAGCTCTGGTTTGGGAACATTTAGGCTTTTAGCCGAAGGAGAGCGGAGAGCCAATCAATGTGAACGAGCCCCGTCTCCCCCAGAAGCCACGGAGCGCGTCGCCCTGCCGGCGGTTGATGCCCACGGGGCAACCTCGCCCCGCTCAGCGTCCCTTTGCGCTTACTCGTTTTATTTATTTGGGATATAGTCTTTCACATTCCGATTCTAACGTCTAAATATTCTGAAGAATTAAATAGTTTTTTGAAAGAGTGCACTTGCATTATTATGCAATTATGGTCATAATGTAATCAGTAGCATAAAGGGGTCTGTAAATTAAAATAATATTGTTTAACAGAAATAAGAAACCGTCCAGCGAACTGCTACCGATTTCCAAAAAAATTAAGCCGGCGGATTATTTTTAAAAGACAAATGAGAGCGGGGAGGAGGAAGACAACAATGGGTTTCAAATAACTTCCCACTGATAATGAAAGTGCCGGCAGAGAGACCGACTGAGCCACTGTCGTAGATTAATACCTGTTGAAGAACTACTTTTTTACTGAAATAAAAACACAAATTACCAAAATCTCATTACAGATAAAACTCTTGCATTCAAAATATTACTTGACTTGCATAATCACAAAAATGTGACCTTACCTAAATTATAAAAGTAGGCCACTTAATATGCATCCAAATGGGCTCTTTGATTGTAACATAATTATATATAATAATATTATTGATGTAGTAACATGCATTTTAACGCTGTTGACTTGATTCATTTTTTTATACTACGGTGTAGTAGAATACGACCGGTGTAAGACGGTGATTTCATTTAATGTCAAATACTGCACAACATTTCACATACTCACAAAGTGAACAATACGACACCTCCCTCTGAAACGTAGTGCAATGCTAAGTAGCATTAAAACGTACTCATGCACGTTAGGCTCCTGCTCACCTATCTCTGCAGGCAGCTGCTTGATCTTGTTCTCCCGGATGCTGAGCATAGTGAGCTTGGACAGGTTTCGGATGTCCCGCTCCACCGCGGTGATGCGGTTGAAGCGCAGGTACAGCGTGGTGAGCGACGTCAGCCGGTAGACCACGGCCGGGATCTCCCTCAGCTTGTTGTGACGCAGGTCGAGCATTCGCAGCTTCTTAAGAGAGTCCAGCGAGTCGGGCAAGCTGGTCAGGGAGTTCTCGCTCAGGGCTAAAGTGACCAGCCCCGACAGGCACCCCACCTCCGCCGGCAGGCTCTGCAGCTTGTTGCTGTACAGGTAGAGTTCGGCCAGCTGCGTCAGCTCCTTGATGGAGGTGGGCAGGATGTGAATGGACCGCTTCGATAGGTCCAGTCTCATGGAGTTTTCCTCCCGGCACTTGTTGAGCTCTTTGATCACCTCGGCATTGCTGGACTTCTTGCGCGTACCGGCGGCCGGGTTGGGCCGCTTTATCGTGTTGTCGACGGAGAAGGCAACGCCCGGCGTGGAGCCGCTGGTGTCCTTCTTTCCTTCCTTGGGGTCTTTCCCTTTGGTCTTCGTTTCTTTGCCCACATCCTTGACTAAGCCGGCTAGAGCCCTGGCCTCCTTTTCCCTTTCTTTCCCCGCTGGACCACCTTTGGGGTCCTTTTCTTTCAAATCTTTTTCTTTGCCTAAAGTACTACTCATGTCGACGCTATCGAGTCTCCTGCAGAGTTGCACATGGGAGTCTCTATTGTCAGGTTACTTCTTCAGGAAAAGGAGACAGTCAGGCAGGAAGGCCTTTAAAGGAAACATCCCTGTACAGGCCCACACATTGATGGTTATCCTTGAAATAAAGGACTTGTGACCCCAGGTTTAAAGATACTAGATATTCTGTTACAACGCCATGAGAGAACAAGTCCTTTGAAGTAGCTGGACTGGGGCACCCATGGGCCACATGCTTCAGTGTTTGAACAGCATACAATCACAGGAACTTCAGATGCAAGTTATTTCAGGCTTCAACGGTCTTGGATGGATTTCAGAATCCTTCGAAGATTTGCTGTGGGGGGGGGAGAAAAAAAAAAAAGTTGTTTGCATTTTGAATTTCATTTTCACATTTAACAGCATTTGCGGCAATATGAATTAAAGACACTTGAGAGGTCTGATTGGAAACCTATCAAGTCCACATATTTGTCAATGTTCCTATCGTTTCAGAATGTGGATAGAATGGTCCTTAGGCTCAGCCTTAATTATTAAATGTCAATTTCCAGACAGAAATTAACTAATCGCTTCCAAAGGAAACTAAACACATTTTCTTCTGGATTTTTTTGTCCTTGTGTAATCACAAATAACAAAACAGGGTCTGGTCATAGAAAGAATGCTTCCACTGTTTGAGAATAAAAGGGGAAAATGCAAATAAACCACCTTTAGTGCATTCGATACCCTCATATAAATAAGTCCTGTATATTTAAAAAACAAAAAACATTTTTCTCCAGTCGTACTCTAAGCAACCAGAAAATAGGATGTTATTTATCAAACAAGAAAAAAAATCAGATTAACTGAAATGAAAGACAACACTATGTAAGCGTGCGTCGCTGCACAGACATAGAGTGGAGTGACAATTTTATGCCTCACGTACTAAATGATTCGCTACAGTGCAAAGGTTTAATTATTTTGCTAAAATGTATTGCACACTATCTTAAATAAATCCACCTTTGTCTTATTATTTTTGATTTGACTCAATTATTGGTGTATAAAGTGACTTCTTGCCATCATCTGATAATCCATCATCAGCATCACAATAACTACGGTTGAAAAGGGATGAACTGATAAAGCTCACAGGAAATCTCGAGTTCACACTATCATGATTATTGTTTATTTTATTAGGATTAGTTACATTGATCTTTACAGGCTAGCAGAGAAACTAGCATAACAACATTGTAACTAGGATAATTAACATTTGACCTAGTGTAGATGTGTATCTGTACTTTAAACAAACACTCACATGCCCAGGATATGTGAACTATCAGGTTTTTTTTACTGTGACACCAGCATTTCTTTACAACCCTAAAAGCACAAAACGTAACCTCTTATGCTGAAACAGAATTGCTCCGGGCCCTTTTTGATGGAATTGTTTTGGAAAGATAAAGCCAGATTCATTTCCAATCGGATATTTGTTTACTCTGGCAGGCCACATTCAAAAACTCTACACACCCAAAAAATAAATAAAAGTGGGATTTAAACAGCAGCCATAAGCAGCTTCAAATACTTAAGTGATGCATGCAGAGACACACTATTGGCAAGTTCTTTGTTTTTGTACAATTGATTGATTTAGCAAGTGAACCACACCGCTGTTTTTAGTTCAAATCATTTTAAAAAGAGCGTATTCAAAACTTTTATGACACAACAAATCTGACTGACATTCTTCCTTTCCTCTGAAATATTATAAATATATATTTGAGTAAATAAGGATTAGAACCAACTTCAACTCGGACCGTAAAGAAAAACAAACAAACAAACAAACAAAGAAGGAGACATGAAGATAATATCTGTCCTTGTTCATGAAAGTACCACAATGTGCAAGTCCAAGCAAATCTGTTGAATGTACCTGACGCCAACTTACCCTCCTAAACAAACACGGCCCAGCGGGTGTTGACATTACGCTTAGCCTACAGCCCCACCTTTTAATGCATTTAGATAGTTAGTCATCCCTGTGAAAGCCTGCTACATGACACACGTTAGATATTTCTGCCTTAAAAACATTTTGTATCTGTAAATGACAATTGTAGCTAGAAGTGCATGTTCTCTGGTAAGTCTCTATTGCGTGTCTCTGTTTAAAGCTCTCCGGCACCAGTACAAGCTAAGCTGTGGCAAAAAGAGACCGGTTTGGCTCGGGATCACAGTTAAGTGAAAAGGTTAGGACTGCTGGGAGTAATCTTTAGAAATGGCCTTCAAAGCTTGGAGTTCCCACAACAGGTCATGCGACCTTTTAGGAAAAATAAATGTGGGGGTCAATAGCAGCACCACTAACATGACCGAATGCCGGACTCTTCTGTAAATAAGAAGGTTCTTTGACGCCGTCATAAATAAGAAAGTTAAAATGAAACCCTGACTGCAATGGGCATTCCCGTGTTCGAAATGATTATGAGAACAAGCAGGCCACCCCGACTCCTGCAGCTATCTAAACCAAACTGCCAGCAACTTCCTTTTACGGTTGTACTTTCCAAGTCCCTGTCCTGGTACATCACATGGTTTATAGCAAGCTGCATATGACCTTTATTTGGAAACACTCATTGCGGAGATAGAAAATATGTCTGCTACTTTCTGCCTGAACCTTAGAAAATACCAAACAAGAGGGGAAAAAAGGATAAATTGAGCAATTCTTTATTGACATCTATGACCATTGTATTAATATAATAAGTCTAGGTAAAAGTCTCGGGCAGAAGCTCTTGGATATTGATTGTCAGATAATAGAGAACGAAATATTTGCCAAACTAAAAGCAGGTATACTCTAAGTTGCAGATTTTAAATATATGCAGATGTTTCCCCAAAACCTGAAACACCAAAAAAACAAATGTAAAAAAGACAAGCACCAGGACCAAACTTATTCCACATATTCAGAGTTATATTAAAGAACAATACTAAGAAACGAATACAAGATTGAACTTGTACAGCTCCAGAGAAACGCTAATGCACAGCCATCCTCACCAATAACACCACCATAAAGTGCAACGACACCCTTCATGGCACTTGCAGCCCACATAAAAACGAAGGTAGTTTCCTTTGGGGAGATCTTGGCCCCCAGACGATGCCAGTGCCTACAGGCCCGAGTGGAAGTGGCCGTTCTCCTGCTTGTGTTTGTCCATTACAATGCCTCCACGAGTGAATAAGAAATGCATCACTGTGGCCCATCAAGTTACTGTAGAACTGGTATAACATGACGACATGTAAGAAATACCGCTTCTGTGTTTCTGACTGACAGCACGCCACTAAGTGCAAGGAAATACAAAGGATGACCTGGCATGTCAGTGAAAGTGGTCGTCTGTGGGATATTTGGGGTGGGGAGCAAACCAGGGGTGAGGTGGCATCTATCCGCTAACGTTACGACCCACAGGACGCATCTAGCGGCCGGTTTGAAAGGCGAAGAGGGCCGATGACAAAGTCTTTCGAAACAAAAACAATGTCAGTTCGGGAAAATCAAGTAGCCGTATGAAACTGATAAATGCAGACAACATTGTTACCTAAGGAAAGCACATATGGGTTCGCACCGCTGTTTGAATGAACTATCACTAACGTTACTGTGACAAAATATACGCTACCTAGACGCGAACAGTAATAATGCTAACCAACGTAAAGAGTTAAACAATGGGCGACAGTCAACGTTAACTAGCGTTAATTATCGTTAGCCAACTCACGTAGGCTGGAGATGTCTAATGTTAGCTAAACCAGCTTAGAAAAGGGAACTGGGAGAACATATGCAAGTTAGCTAACGTAATGTTTTAATACACATCTCGAAGAACCAACCGAAAGGCGCACTGGCTACCGAAACGACTAACAACCGGGAAGGAAATAAAAGCAGCTTAGATAAAACGTCAACAGCCAAGCAAACGTCAGTGGTGCCAGACGGCTAACTTGCTAACGTCAGCTAGCGAGCAAGCTAGCAAGCTAGCCCACCAGCTAACAGCATTTCAACCAGCAAGATAACGACTCAAACGAGGGGAAAAACGTTAAAGGCTCACGTGACATGATGCAACAAACGTGAATTGCTACTCGTAGGACACGGTGCTAGTGCTCTCCAGAGTTCCCCACTGATATATTCACGCACATCCAGCGGTTAGCTCTCAGCGGAGCTGGCGGTGTGTAGGCCGCGGGCAGAGCGGCTGTCGTACACGGACCGACCCATCAGCCGTGAGGTGGACCGAGAGGAGGAAATCTCTGCTGCAGCCAGCGGAACGCCGTCGGGCAGCGGACGCCAGAAAGGGAAACTGGTCGTTGGAATGCATTTGATTTCCGAGCTTAGCGGCCACTTGCGGCACACGATGTGCAAACTAACTGCAACACGGCACACAGACCGTTCCCGTGTTGAATATGCGCCGAGGAGAGAAAAAAAAGAAAAGAAAACACTGAAAAAAAAAAAACAGCGGCCATTCCGAAGCGGAACAAAAGAGTGCGTTCGTTCTCTCCACCCCGAAATGACACTGAAACGTTTACCCGCGCAGTGACAAGAGAGCTGCGGCGGTGTGGTCTCTAGACAGCGGGGCTACGGGGGCTACGGGGGCAACGCGTCCACTGCCAATGTGGTAATAATATCGCTGTTTTACCTTTCAGAGGTGTGACTCCGCCATCCTTTCTGCTTCCTCCTCTTGTCCTACACTACTGCTCCGCTCCCTCCTCCCTCCTCCTCCTCCGCCCTCCGCCGCCGCCGCCGAACTGCGTCATTCGCACCCCGAACCAATGTTATCACGAGACTTTGAAATACAATCAAAAAGTCGTGGATAAAACATTGGCTTCGTTTATTCAATATATCTTATACGGTGCAATTAATTGTTTTGTTGCAGTGTTAGTGTTGTGTAAAAGCTCAACGCTCAAACTGTTACGAAACATCCTGAAAATAACGCTTTTCTTTGGATAATAAAGTGTGTTTGCTATGATCATTCCCAAGAAATGTAACCTATTCAGTTAAAATTCTTATATTTACAATCTCCTCATTTAAAACGACAAAGATAGATACATATGCGAATATGTGTTATTTTAAATGTGGGACTTTGGGTTTGACATGATCCTCGGTATTTTTTAAATGATATAATGAAGAGCAATTCGTAAATATAACTGTCCAATTGTTATATCAGTGAACAGTACAAAACGTTCCTCTGAAATGCAGTGGAATGTAAGAATAAAGTAGCCTAAACTTTAGTTACAGTGCATACATACATTAATTGCACACTAACTACAATCACTTGAAACACATTACACATAAACACAGTGAGCAAAAATGTTATTTAAACGGATTTACAGTAAAGGGAACGAAAAAACGCGAAGAAAAAAGGACCTACTATGACGATGCGCTAGTAATAGATCCAGAGGGGGGCAGTAATGCGATATAATGGTAACGTACTGCCGTAAAATCCCAACAAAGAAGAAGATTACGCGAAGGAAAAGATCACGTGATTGAGTTTACTTGACAACCGTTTAAATCTCCTCCAAGTGCTAAAGGTGGGATTATTTCAAGTGATTGAAAACGATTCCGTATTTTCTTTTATAGAAACCCCTTTAACGTGTTCACACACGTACACGGAAACACGTAGCAGTGTATGGTCCGTGTAATTCACTCGTTATTTGACAAAAGAGACGTATCCTCCGCTTCTTAAACTGAGTAACGTTAAACGATACGTGTTGCTACCTGCTAAACCTAGCTAGCGTTGGCTAGTTTTGTGTTGAGCTAACGTTAACAGACAATTTAGCTATTATTGTAAAATATACGAGGACATTTAGGCCCACGTCCTAGTCAATCACATAGCATAGCTTAATGGTGAAATAATGTTATTCGGGTATTCATCAACTAACGTATTGTCAACCTGAACGCTATCTTTCGCTTTAACCTCCTTTAAATAAGTGAACATTTAACATAATACAACCGCTACATTTCACAAATACACCACGAGACAGTGTGGGTGCTACATTATATCATGTTTCCTTTCGCGACAGGCTGTTTTGTGTTCTCCGTGTATGAGATTTATAAAGATGAAGATGCTTTGGTCTAAACTAAACTTGCGGTAAAACCCAATCTTGCCTGCCTGCGATCCCTCAATACACTACAGCATTAGCAGCTGGTTAGATTAGCTCACATTGTCGCATTTTTAAATAGTTGGCATATCTTCTTGTTGTCATCTTCAAGTGCAAGGCTATGCCAGATAAAAATGTTTAATGGATTAAAATAATGTGTTTACTGTACCTTTCAGCAAGCACTCAGAGGACACAATGCCAGAGGTCAAGTCTATATTCAGAGAAGTTCTGCCTAAGCAAGGTTTGTATCACAGCAGTTAATACAAACAAAAGAGTGTTTGTGGTGCTCAACACAACATGTGAACTGTTTAGCTTTGCAAGCTTTTGCACATTTCTAGTGAGTGGGTGCTCTGTGCTATGGGTTCACTCTTTACAGCTCAACACAGAGCCGGTTTCTGTATGTATACAGTTGTGTAATATAAAAAGGTCAATACCTTTCTGGTGTTCTGGTTGAAATGGTTTCTAATGGGTACAAGTTGTTCAAGGGCAGAGCAACAGATGTGTGAAATTTCCATTTAGTGAGAGTGATCGTTAAGAATGGACCATCAGTGTAATAGACATTAAAAACATTAGCAAGCAACTGTCGAGGTTTAACAAATGAAAGACTCACATGTAACCTGATTTAACTTTTGTCCCATTTTTGAAAATTCATGGGGGTTGCACTAGAAACTACATCATTTTGTAAACACTTATTTTATAGTGCTGGTCTCACAGTATTGTATTTAAATTAGTAGATACATTTCTCACCAAGAATATGCAAGAGGCTTTTGTGAAATATAGCAACAATAAGTGTCACAAAGTTTGCATTTAAGCCAAGATTAGTTGATAAGAACGGTTTTATTTGTTTTTCTGGTGACATCCACAGGGCAACTTTCCATGGAAGATGTACCTACCATGGTTCTGTGTAAGCCAAAGCTGCTCCCACTCAAATCAGTCACTCTAGAGAAACTGGAGAAGATGCAGATGGAGGCTCAGGAGGCGGTCAAGATGCAGGACCTGGCCATGAAGGAATCCGCAAAACCGCTGCAATAGTCTAATTGGCAGAAAATTCCTTTCAATGGATGGCAAAGACGAGGCGTGTACACGCGCTAATAGAGTTTGCATGGACAGTCAAGTGCAATATGAAGACGGGACGGATAAGAAGGGAGCAGTCAACGTTGCTCGACCACTTGTCTCACGTCAAAGGATTAGATCTATCACTCGGCATATTTTTCAGTGTGGTTGGCTACTAAGACCTGCGTACTTGTTCTATTTGTATCATTGTATCTGTAATTTGGCGTTTTGCATACAAAATTCAACAGCTTCTTTTTTGAGTGAATCTAAGATTCATGTTTTGTATCAAAGAAAGCAGTAGTTTGTGTTGTGTGTTAGTGTGACATTCACAAAACCAGTCTTGGATTGTTTGACAATCATTTAAGGAACAAACAAGGAGCAATACGTGGTACATTTCACACACCAGTATTTCCTGGATATAAAAATAAACACAATTTTGTGAGGTTCCTCAAATGGTGTTTGTTTTTGTTCTTTACTCGTGTCTTGATACCTTCAATAATAATATCTTTGTAATTTAAAGGGTAAAAAAGAAAAAGCCAGCACAGCATAGAAACAGCAGCTACTTTGGGAGGATTTATTGCATTTAACCAACATGCTCCTGTGTCTTTATTTTTTCTTTCTACCCCATTATAAAGCTTTTGACACAAGCCAGTCTTTTGACAAAAACAGAAAAAGGAGTGGCAGTGAAATCAAGGAAGTACTGTACAAAACCACATGGAATGACTAACACTGCGAAGTGTGGCACTTTAAGGGTTAGCTTATGTTCGTGTTTATTTGAAATATCTTGAAGAAAGTGATCCACTTATTTCATTTTTTTTTACCCTACCTCAGTTTTAGAAATGCACATTCTTTTGACTGTTCGAAGGAAAAAAAATTACCCGACCTTTTTGAAAAATATACAAGTAGAAAAGTAGCTTTATCCTTTTTTTCCAGGAAATCTGGCACATAAAAAGGGCTGCTCAGTAACTTTCAGCTTTGACGACACCCCCGTCTCCCTCGCTGATAAATCTCTTCCGGCCTCTGACAACAGAGAGAACATAGTTTTAAAAAACATTTAGGGAAACGAGAGTGTAAGTGACAAATCCAGTGCGGTGCACTTACCGACAGGGACAGAGATCTCTCAACTTTACATCAATGACTCCCATACTGAAGCTCCTATCAACAAATTGCTCCAGGAGGAAATATGCACGAGGAACATCAATGTTGATTTCAGCAATGTCCATATAGACTCTTTCATAGCCCTGTAACAGACAAAGAAACAAAATACATTTTCTATGAAGGGCATGTGTTTACAGAAAGATCACATGGAGATGTCCTACCCTGAGAGGACATAATTGTCTCCCTATTTTGTACACAGAGAGACTGAGCAGCAGAATCCTCTGCTTGAAAATGAGGCTTATCGGTGGTTGTTATATTTCTACGAGTGACGATGATAATGTCATCCTCTGCTCAATAGCTGACCATAAGTATTCTAGAAAGTCCAGCCCCCCCTTTTATTCTGAAAATATTACTTTATTCTCCTAATATAAAAAAATAGCAGAAATGTTTTATGAAAGGCACAAGCTTTTAAATGACTTAGGTTTAGAAATGAGTTTAAATGTATTTATCCCACCGTTGTGGTGAATGGGTACCAAAGGCCCATTTAAAGAGGTAAATACACAACAGAGGAAGGAAGGGAAATAAATGCTATTTGACTTAGCAAGGATCAAAAATAAATAAAAAAACTTAATCCACAGAAGAATACATATTTGAAAGCAATACAAAATGCCTGAAACCCTTACTGCTTTATTTTTCCTTTCCGTATTGTTATATTTCGATTTTATCTCACGCCTAAATTTAGTGTTTTACTTTACATAATAACGACTTGTCCCCATCATTGGCTGCAGAGCAATTTGCCAGAATGCAGGAAATTAAGTGTTTGACGTTTAGAATCTTTCAGGGGGAGCGACTCCCAAGTCCCCCTGCTTAATATGTGAGATGTGCCCTTACCGCTGTAGATACCAAACTCACGCCCTTGCCGCCCATTAAACAGCATCGTTTAAGGCTGGCTCCACAAATGATGCTTGGTGAAATAATGGTGTAATGCTTGATTCAACCACCAGGTGGCGCCTTACCCTTCTCATTTGGTCCAGAGTGATGACCGTGGACACAGAAAGGGACTTGAGTAGCTGCAGAACCATTTCCAAAGTTTTCTCTCCCTTGGACTCCAACACCATCACTATCGCCTGAGGGGAAGCGAAAAATCCACAACTGTGCTTTTAGTAACAACAAAAGAAGCACTTGAGTGCTTCAGTTTCCATCCACATATAGGATGATGTCACGCTTCACTTTGTTTTTCTCATGTTTAGCCTCTAGAACACCGGTTTGGTGATGCTTTCAAGGAAATCTGAGTTTGGGCTGTTTACCTCATAGACAAACTCATGGTGGAAATGAGGAACTTCCAGATCTCTCAGGCACCTCTCAGCCTCCTTGCTGTCTCCAGACAGGATGTACTCCTTCAGCAGCAGGTTCATCTGGCAACACAGAGAATAGGAAATGATAGTTATTGACCTATTTGCAATTTTTCCTTGGACTTCAGGGTGTGTTCTATGAATCATTAATAAAGAACAAGGTGTAGACCTTCCCCAGTGTACTTTCTGTATCCTACCTCTTTGACGAGCTGTGTGACGGGTCTCTGTCCTCCGCCTGCACCCCACTGGTTGTCTATGCGCAGGCCTTCCATGCTCATCCTCAGCAGCACCGCCGCCCGGTCCAGTGACACTCTGCAGGAAGAACAACAGGCTGAGCTGTGACACTGAAAACATTGCGTTTCTTCACCTCTCTCTTACCTGCAAGTGACCACACTGTGTCTCCCCTCGCGCACACACATTATGTGTTTAACTTTTCTATCGCTCTGTTACAAGTACTACCAAATCCTTTGGTCGGGACCTAATTCCTATGTGATCTGCTTCCTTTACCTTTTTAATACATTTCAACTTACTCTTACTATTCTCTTACATGAATCAAAGAACACCTCAAAGAAAGGTTCAGATTCTCCTGCACTTTTGTGACCACTATCTACGCTCAATGTAACAATAGAACCATCACACAGTATGTACACCAAATCTGGATGATATTATTGACAGAGTACACTTCTCTTTAGGGATTTGCTATAATGTCTGAGGAGATGATAAAGATACAGGAAAACGGTAAAGTACCTTGTGTATTCACAGTCCACTCTGCCTTTGTAGGCCTCGATGTAGCTCTTGGACAGTATTTGGTCGCTCACGGCTTGTGCAATGAATTGGCCCACCAACTGGAGAAGGAAAACAAAGTGTAAACAAAAGCAGCTTCTGTTGCTGCTGTTATGTTACACGCCTGATGATGCAAATTCAAAGAGTACTCTACATGCATGTCCTGCTAGTTTGGCTTTGCTGCTCAGGTGTTTGTTGTGTTACAGATGGGCTGTAATCAATTTTATTTTATATTGCTGTGTTGCATTTTGACAAAAAGGATCAGTTGAGTCCTTAAATGAAGCAGATCACCTTGTTTAATGCAAGAGATGACAGATGTAGACTGCAGCCAACAGTCAAGCTTATTAAGTTTATTAAGTTCATTAACAACTAACGCTGAAATACAGCCAAAAAAACAAACAAATTGATTTTGTTTCCAAATAAAAAAAGAAACATTTCTCTGGTCCGCTGTAAATAATTGGAATGAATAAAATCAAACAGGTTTAATCCACTCCTTTGAGAAAGCCCAACTATATTTTTAAGTCAGACAAACTATTCTATTATACATTAAGTCACGATTACTAAAGAAGTGGTATCACAGAAACACTGGCAGATGACCGCCAGTGGCCTCAGAGGTTTACAGTAGTGTGGCCTCGGGATCTGTGGACACTAAGAGCTTTGCTCCGCTGGCCTCGACAAAGCCTGCGCTTATCACTGATCATTGTTCCTGTTCAGATGCAGCTCTCATTTGATCCACTCCCACACACGCGAGGAGAGAGGAGTGTGTGTGTGTGTGTGTGTATGGGAAAGTGAAAATGGGTGAAGGGAAAGAGGTGGGGGCCGGGCACAGTCCTGACAGCCCTTTAAACCCACAGAGAACCGGGAGAGCGGGACAGACGTGTATGGTGAGCCCCAGTGAGACAGCGACAGGCGGGGGGGGGGGGGGGGACAAAGACCCCTTTGTTCTTTGCTGAGGTTGCATTTTGTGAGCACTGACAGACAATGGACAGAGACCTCATGTTTATGCTGCATGAAAGGCCGGCAGCTCAAATACAGACACGGCTGGTGTTTACTGTAATGGGGTCACACATCAGTCTGTCGAAATGTCCCGGTAGCGTGGTGGTGGTACTTGGAATATCTTGAAAGCCCAAATCAGGACCACGGATATATGATGTGGATTCACTGCGGCTCCCGTTTCTCAGTTAGCACCCATACATAAAATAAGTTGCAAAGTGAAGCAGACTTCTCTGCAGACGCTGCGGAGACTCACCTGCGGGGCTCCCGGTGTGTCCAGGACCAGATCGGGCAGCTCCAGCAGCAGTTTGTCAAAGGAGATTTCCATGTCGCCGCGGGACAGCACCGGCCCACACAGATCCGCCAGCAGCCTGGAGGTCAGCTCCCGGTGGCTGGCTTTGGCCTCCAGCGCCAGGGACACGGCCAGCGAGGGCACCTCGCTCCGCATGGGGCCCAGGTTCAGTTCTGCGAGCAGCTCCTGGACGTAGGGAGAGAGACGTTAACCAGCGCGCGTGCTTGGTGGGTGTGTTCCGGTCTTTCGGGCGGGTTGTTTCCTGCACACTTACCGCTACTTCGTTTGTGTCTCCGTGTTCAAAGTACTCCTGCAGTATGGGGCTGACTGTGTTCTCAAAGTCCCTCTCATCCAGCGGAGGAACCACAGTCTCATACACACAGTTTTCCTGTCAAAACACAATCACATTCCAGGTTGAGTGTGTGAGAGATGAGCTTCAATAAATGATGAAAATATTGATTCCACATTTGCTATTTGGTCTACCGTATAGTAAAACAAAACATAATGTGAAGTAAGTCGGTACAGAAAAAACACAAGCGGCGCCTACAAAACACAGTCACATGTATTGCACATTATGAGGTTTTCCAAACGCACCAAACACCAAGGTCAGTACCTGAGCTTCGTCATAGTTGGGGTCTTTCTGATCTACCGCCTCCTGTTCATAAACTTCCCCAGATCGGCCCCACACTCCTTTTCCTCCGGCCCCACCTGTGATCGGAGGTCAGTGACAATATGAGACTTTTAAAAACTTAATAATATGGTATCAACTCCGTGATCAGTGTGGTTTTGAAAAGATTTATTGGCGCACACACAGGTCTGGTTTGTTGTATTGCAAACAAAGAAAATAGCCTTTCATCTAATAGTTCCCTATTCCTTCGTGGAAAGAAGGTTAGGTTGCAGTTTGGAGCGTCAAGTTCTCTCAACACGATATCCCTAAAAAACTCCGTCAAATACCTTCGTCACAAAGTGGGATGTCATGTCCCTAAATAACTGAAGAGAAAGGCAAAGCTGATCTTTCAGCACTGAAGGCAACAGCTTGAGTCTCTGCTAACCTCCTGTCAGCTGATTTACACACACTGCAACAGAAAACAATCTATCATTTGTCGGATTAAATCCCACTGTATGGTGCTAGTTTTTAGATAAATCCTCAGAATCTGCTTATTAAAAGCCTGCTTTAATTACAGGCCTTGTAGGGTTAAGTCTCTCTTCTTCGTTTTCAAGCGTAGGTACAACTCCATCGTCAAGAAGGAAATAGGGGAAAGTGAGACGCTTGTGACAAACGGTCAACCGTTGCGGTCAACTGAGCGAGTAAGCAGTTCATTTGTGTTTTAGTCGGAACTATAGAATATATAATAACATTTTTGTATAGCAGCTGTACTCTCCTTCACACCTCCTCATCTCACGCAGCAAATTTCTCATAATGGTCTTATTTAGTGGTCAAAACAAGTAATACTCGTTTATAATACGGTTTATTATAACATTGCTTAAGGCTCCATTATTATTATTATGTATGTGTGCCCACATACCCACGCTACAGTTTTCAAACCAAAGTACCAAATATGCTGTGATATAATCCCTCTATCTGGAGTGGGTTCATCTCCGTCACACCAACAAACACCTGCTGGGATTAAAGACAGTTTGAGAAGCCCAATACCGAGCCGCTTGTGTGACATGCTTCTAAAACCTTGATTAGTCCAAACCGAGAGGTGGCAAAGCGCACGCCGCTATATTTAGCACAGCACACATCGCTTGTGCCAAAGTCTTCCACTTCCAGCATCTGAAACGCGTCACACAGCCGCTGTATTTGTGTGACAAATACTGCCACAGGACTTTTACTGCAGTAAGCGCTCACAGCTCAAACGACAGAGCTCCAGGGGTGCGTCGGTTCTGTTGTGTAACCCCCCCCCCCAAAAAAATAAATGTTAAAAAGAAAAACAAACGGACGTCGTGCCACAAAACGCTCTGCTTGCCCCGGTTTAATATTCCAATGTGATGACATGATTGAATTATAGTGAAATACGGACGCTTCCTACCCTTCTTTGGTAGACCCCTTCCCTTGCCCAGTCGGGACTTTCTGTCCAGCAGCTTGCTCTTGGGGCTGGCGGGGGCCACCGAGGTTCCCCTGACCACGTCCCCGTTATCGCTGAACGAGTCCCCCCTGCCCGAGTCCCTGGACGAGTTCTTCCTCAGCCTCCGCTTGGCCTTCGCCTTGAGACGCGCCTCATGGATGCTGCTGCTGGCGGAGGACAACCAGTTGCCATTGAGCTCATTTTTGAGGTTTTTGTTGACCACCGATCCCGTGTTGTCTTCCTCTTCGGATACCAAGGAGTCACTCAGATCCTCTGCCTCTGTTGGATGTCAGGACAACATTTGGTGGGAAAGATTTCAACAAAAAAAAAAGAAAGAAAAAAGAAGAGAAAGTGTGAGTGAGTGAGTGGCTTTCGTGTGCAGAACAGATCACACTAGAACGACACGCATCCTCTCCGCTGCAAAGGGCCAGCAAACACCAAAACAAATGGAGGAGCGCAGTGTGGCAGCGGGATACCAGCGACGTGCTCGACGTCACAAAACCTGCAAGCGGTGCGAGGAGGCGAGAAACTCCGCCACGTCCTCGCGCGGGACGCGGCCACCGAGCCGCTGAGCCGCCGACACGAACTCACCGGCGGGGATCGCGTTCAGCCAGGCTGCGCAGTCAGTCGCCATGTTTTAGGAGAGAGAGAGAGAGAGAGAGAACGGAGATGTCTGCAGCTGAGTGATGCGCGAATGAGACCTGCACGAGGAGCAAACAGATGTGATCAGACGAGGGTCGATAAGGCTGCGGAGACACAGACCCCCCCCCCCCCCTCCTCTCTCCCCCACTTCCCCTCCATTCAAAGTCACTGTGTTGATAAACAATGGCTGACGTTAAGTGTCAAAGTGAAGAGCTGCGTCACAGCGACAAACTCACAGACGTTTAACTTAAACGGCGCGATATCTGGCGTTAAACCCGCGGCCCACAGTCTATTGACCGATGTCGCATATCGCGGTCAGCGGTCAGCGACGATAAGAGAAAATGTTCATATCTCAACTGCCATCTTTTAGTTACACCGACGGGACCGTTTCAGTCCTAAACGACACCGACGTGTAGGTGCATTCGTAACTCTCCGGCCGTGTGTATTGAATGATCCAAATAAAACCCACTCACCGTCCGTCGCGTCCAAGCTACGAACTCTGAATCCAATCCTGTTGTTTTTGTTCAATCTACCCGGCAACGCGAGCGCGCAGGTTTGGGTTTCGTCTTCTGATTGGCTGGAGATGCGTCGGTGTTTTTAAACAAAGAACCAATGAAAAAGCAACACGGACTTTTCTTCTCGCATGTTCCGAGTAGATTCTGTTGTTTACATTTGTTGCCTGTCTTTGGCGTTGCAGCTCTATTTCTATTTTCTGATATATAATAAAATAACTGATTCCTGTTGTCACATCATTATTGACAATTATTATATTTGTTACATAACCAACCGTATCGGTTCGCTTAGAATTAGATGCTTTGTAAACCTACTTTATGAGTAAGGTGACTTAATTCGTGACACTGCCATTTTCAATAAAAGTACAATAATTTTGGACCGGACCAGTAATACATTTCCAAACAAAGAAGAATATCACAATAAGTAACTTGTTATTTAGTTTTAACCCAAAGATGTGCTCTTTAAGCTTCAACACTTGGTGGAGCTCTTTCACAACCCTCCCACTTACACCACACATTAGTAAACGTACTGTACCCTGCAAGTGTCATGTCTGCATTGCTGTCATACATGATATAGCATACAAAGTGTTGTACTTAATAGAAAGTAAAATACCGTAGTACAGTTTAGAATGTTTATTTACGTTTTTTTGCATCAAAAATCATATGATAAGCTTGTCAAAGAAAACAATATCATTGATGTATAAGGATCAGTATTCACAGTATACAAAAACAGAATTTGGCTTAATAATCCCTACGAACGAATCATTGGCAGATGAAAAATTGCATGCTTAGCTGATAAATAAAACAAATGGTCCAGTTTAAGGTCTTCCATATTTAACGCATTATATTTGTTGGCAAATATGACTGGGATTGCTGTATGATTTTAATTGAACATGAAACTTCAAGAAATACATATATCTTGCAGAGTTCAATTATTATCAATCCAAATGATATGATGAAAAGATGACAGAAAAACAGCAACAGCCTTTAGATCACCACATTTAAATAAATATGTAATAGTGTGTACATCCATTAAACACACTCGTTGCATACAACAAACCTGAGAATCATATTTTTAACTGTCAAAACATTCCTTGGCACAAATTTTAAGTCATTTTGCAACATAAACCAATACTGTAACAATGTGTCATCTCAGTAATTAGACGTCATTTAAAAATGATTTGCATTCCAGGAAATAACACATTTCATCACACACAATCCAATAAAATAATCTGTAAGAAAATTGGTAAACCCCCAAATGGAAATTGAATATTGTAGCCCAAGGTATTTACAAAATTGAGATATTTGTGGTTGTCAGTGCCAATAAAGACCCCCAGACATCCCTTCCCCCAAAATATCAAAACAAGTGCAATTGTCCTCCTACTCTAGCTTGCATGTGTCACATTATCGATGCTGCAGTTGTCCGTAAGCTGTTACCAACAGCACATACACAAATCTGTCCTCTGCTCCTCGCTGCACAAGGCGTGAGAAGTCAAGCAGATGTTAGTGTGCAGCTGTTTCAGCCATAATCCCCGACAGACTCTCCTCCGCCAGCTGGGACAGGTATTTCTGTGGACGAGCGGAAGACATTGAAAACAGTTTAATATATATACGCACACACATATACACAGTATATATAAAATCAAGAAAGGTCGCGACAAGAAAGCTACATCTTGATAATGTCTGCATCGTTGTAAGAAATTACAAACAACATATACAAATATAAAATAACCAGCTGGCAAATTGTCCCCAGCGGCAGTATGTAAACACACCATTAAAGCTAGTTAATCATTCAGAGGCCATATTCTTTTTTTCTTCTTTTGGTACTGCAAATGAATTATTTTGGTGAGAAGCAGCACATCTTATGCTGCCTCCGATTTAAACTAAATCATTAATAATGCATACAATAATTAATTAGATTATGCAAATGATTGTTTGAGTAGAACTATAAATTTAAAGAAAAACGAAAATCTGTGGTCAAAGTAGGGACATAAATATATCTTCAATAATTAACTACGAGAACACAAACACAAAGACCTTTGACCGAAAGCACATTTACAACTTTTTTTGTTCCTCTTGGAATGTAAATCCATCAAAAGTTATAGCTGCTCCTGCGGTTTGCCTCAGCTGTGCAGTCGGGGGCGAGAGAAATGCAAGAAGGCTCATTGCTGAGTGGCCAGTATCAAGAAACATAATACAGTTGCAAGTTTACATTCAAATGCATATGCAGTATTTGTTCTTCTGTTTTTGCTTGTTTGTCTGATAATCTGACTGCATTATTAGCTATAATAGTCTTTAAATGACTTTTTCCGACAAATAGTTTGAAGCACAAAGACATTTCATTTAAAGTCTTATGATCTTCAATTTTGTGACATTTGATCTGGCTGAATTTGGACAGTCATTTAAGACTGACATAACAAGCAGTTAATATACACTATATTAATTTTCATTTAGAAAAGAGAAGATTTTATGTGAGATTTAAAGATACATTTATCCCAAAAATATGACGTACATAAGATGAAAGTCGGAGAAACTTAATGGGAATTGCATGTGTTGGATTTATAGCCATAACTCCACAACAGGTGGTGATCTTGACTGTGGAGCACATCAGCAGTGCTTACAGTACAGGGGAGTTTTCTGGGATACCCTTTTCAACATATATATATTTCATTTCTTAGTGTAAAAGGTCTAACATCACATGCAAACATGATGTATCATATATACAGCTTGTCTGAACAAACATATTTAGCATCCTCATACAATTCAGGGACGAAAGAACAAATCCAACGTGGGATTAAAATCCAGATTATCATGTTATTCCTTCTCATCATCATCTCCTGAAGGACCAGTGTCAGCGGTCCGTGTGTACCTGTAGGTTCCTGTAGTGTACAGTGCTGCGGCAGTGAGTGGTCTTTGCAGTCGCCTCACTGTTGTAGAAAAGTCCGCAGAGTTTACAGAAGAATCCGGTCTTTCGCACAATGAACTCCACTCCTATCGGACCGAAAACACAACCATGAGCATTCTTGCAAAAGGTGTTTACCACGACAGCACTTGAGGCAATACAGTTGCTGCACTTGGTTTTAATTATATAAATCAAATGTCTTCATTGCTTCCAAGTTTTGAAAGTGAAAATAACCTGCTTATTTTATTCGCTGAACAACTTTTGTCATTCTCATTTATTCAAGCTACATACACGTCGTACTTCTGCAATCCAATTACCAGATTTGCTCTTAATTTGGAATGTAGATATTTTTGTTAACTTTTAACAGTGTATGATGATAAGATTATTACCCAGTTACCTTTGTTTTTGTATTTTGATGACTATCAAAGTAAACTCCAACAACACATATCTGACTGTGACCATAAAATTTTTTTTTTTTAAATGGTGGCAACAACAACAACAATCAGTGCTGAATTTGTTTCAACCAAGCTATCAAAGGACACTTTTCTCACAAACACATACACACACAAACTATTGTTGTTATCCTGCACCAGGTCTTACTGTATGTACAGTAAGTCTCTATGCTGCAGGTGCACCATTAGCCATGTGCTTAGCCGCGTCATTCTGACCCTAATGAGAATATAAATACTCATCGCTCAGGAGTGCATTTCAAAACCTGCTCACAGAAATAGGTCAGCAAGTGGCCAGGCAATTCCAGTCAATTAGAGCGCTAATGCAACGGGTGGTCAGTGCACTTATTAATGGTGTACATGACAACACTATATCTTTAGGACTAAAACTACACGCGCACAACTCATCTCTGTGACCACAACCAAATATAGACCCTTGTACTGGGTTTGGTTCAGCCAAAGAAAAACAATTCAGTTTGATCATTATTTCGCCAAATCTTTTTTACAGGACGGATAACTTGCTGTCAGAATAAAAAAAAATTGAAGATCTCATATAAATGTGTATTCAGTTTTCATATATTCAGGTTCAAAATGATAATTGAACATGTGCCTACCCAAAGGGATGCTGTGTTCAGCTTTGTCCTGCTCACGGGATGGCGGGGGGGCCTCAATCTCTGCAAAGGGCATGTAGGTTAAATTGGCATTTTTTTAAGGCATGACAGGAGAGAAAAGACCAAATGCAGAAAACCTTTTAACCACTAATGCACCACGACGCATTTCGTTTTACTAAACAACTTATATTTTAACTTATATGGGTGGAATATCTGAAACTAGTAAAAAAAGATTCAATCCTTGCTTCCTAACTGCGTAACTAAATCTCTCATATTTCTGCTGCAAATAGTTGAACGTCATTTTAAAAACTACCTTTTTGATGATGGCCATCCTGGTGTAGAACCCCGTTATTGATGGTTTCCGAGACCGGTCTCATTTCCAAGGTTTTGTTATCCTCGGATACGGAAATGTGGTTTTCCATTGGCTCATCTGACGGCTCACTTTTGGTTGCTTTATCTTCTAAACATGCGTGCTCCAGGGCAGCCTTGAACTCCTCACTGGGGAAGTTAATAAGGTTGGTGCTTGGCGGTTCAGAAGTCACTGGACCCGGTGCCGGCTCTTCATTACTGGCTGCAGTTAAAGCACTCATTGGTTCCTCATTTATAGATGTTTCTGCCGGCTCTCCAGCATCCTCGCAGAACTTTTCCTGATCAGACTTTTCATTAGTTGTCTCCTGCACCTCACAGGAGGAGGAGCTAGTTGGTGGCATCTGCTCCCCCACTGCTTCTTCCTCTGCAGACTCTTTGGAGCAGGATGCACACTCTTCCAGGTCTGGAAGGTCTGGCTCAATGATGGAATCATCTTCTCCTCCCACTTCATCCACAGTGACCAGTTCCTCCATGTTCTTGGGAAACCAACACTCTTCATCGGTGTCATCTCCACGTCCTCCCTCCTTCACCTTAGAAAATTGATTGAGAATAAAATTCATGAATACTCGGTTCTGCGGTCGAAGTTGGCTGGAGCTTTAACAAAGATGTTAACAGTTCTGCTGTGAGGATTTTGAATGTGTATTTAGTAGCATAATGCCGACTCACAGCGTCTCTTTCTTTAGCACATCCAGTCGACTCTTTTGGCGTAACAGATTTTTCTTTTGACTTGCGATCCTGGAAAAATAAATGCGTTAATAGCTAAAAAAGGATGTGCCTTGAAAAGTATACAGCAACAGCTGACACAACGAAAGCTACTCACAGTATTTTCAGTGGTGTTTTCTTTCTCATGTTTGTCCGGAGTGATGTACCTCCTGCTTGTCTTCTTGCTCCTTTCTCTTCCTGGTGAACCCTGTCTCTTGTCTTCTAGTGTTCTGCGAAGGGGCTCCTCAGTTGTCCCAAACTCAGAATGCCTCGACCTGCTGTGGTAGTCGCCACCATCCCTCCTCTTTGGCTTGGTGTCATGCCGCTGGTATGGAGGTCTGGGTGGCTTGTCTGACTTGTACATTTGTTCCTTTGCGTAGAACTCTTCCTCCATGTTCCTGTAGGAGCTGAAGGACTTGCCATGAGGGCTGCCTCGTGGGGGCCAGTCTCTTTTGCCCCTCATCCCTTCACTTCCACCTCCTCCTCCTCCTCCTCCTCCTCCTCCACCTCCTCCTCCTCCTCCTCCTCCACCATCTCGCTCATCTGCAGATCTGGAGCTGATGTGATCCGAGGGCTTCTGGTAAGCCTTCCGACGGTCAGCCGAACGTCCATTTTGCCGGCTGTCATCCACAGTCCCCCCATTCCTCCATGGGTCATCTCTCTCCCTTTCGTCCTCGCCCCTTCTTAAGTGTGATGACCAATCCCAAGAGCCCCGACGGGGGCCCAGGCCATTGCTGTTTCTCTCCGGACCCCTGCATGGTGCTCCCTGGGGGCTGTGGGCGGAGCTGCACGATGTAAAACTGGGGCTGTGGGAATGAGGACTCAGCGAGCGGCTGATTGGGCTGCGGGAGCGCGCCCTCTCTGGTATGTAGCTGGAGAGAGATGAGGGTCAGATTGCACGGGGAAATGCTCTAAATCTGCGCTTTGTGATGTCATTTTAGAGATCGGAAATATCCCCTTGGCTTGAGTAATCTACAAAACTTTTTCAATGGATTTCCATTTTGCCTTTCTCAAGTAAAAAAAGGAGTCTGAGGAAGCAGAATTAAAAGTTTCCTTACGGTTCTTGCATCTCATCCCGATCCCGCTGAGAGGTGATATCCTGGATGATGGACTGAAGATCTTTACCTGGTTTCTATGCAGCAAATAGATCCCTGTTAAGTAATTAGCCGACGCCGCCTAAAACCTGCTGTTTGCTTTGTTATTCAGCCGTACCTTGAGTTGCAGCTCCTTGTACCTCTTAGACATTCGTATGAGAAGTTTCTGATCGTTAATCATAGCGGGAGTAAGTTGGTAGTATTGAACCATGGCCTGAGCGGCTTCAACATATGCCATTTCCAGAAATGCCTGGCGGGAGAACAGAATATTGCTGTGAACAATAATCCTCTTCTGACATTTATGTGGTTTGTCATGTCATGTTTCACATTTCACATGTCTGGATTAAAGATAATCTTTGAAAATCATCTTAAGTCATTGCGCTTCGTTACCATAATAAACCACCATAGCAGCTGCTTTAGTTCATGAAACCAATACCATGATTTAAGTACAAATGATCATCAATTTGAGATGCGTGATATTAACTGTGTGATTCAGTCCTGATAACTGAAACCGGAGAGAGTTGTACTGCCACTGTACTGGTAGTTATGACAAGGTACATCGTATTACATGACAGATGTAGCAGAAAAACAGCTTTTGATATACACAGACAATTTGATCTGTATTTTGACACATTTCCTTCTAGACAAAATATTCACAGGATCAACAACTTTCTGTGCAAACACACAAATATTCATCCATTTATAGTACGTAAATAGTAAGTGATTGATAATTACTATTATTCTTGTACCTGGTGAGTCGAGCGCATGAGGATGTAGTTGGTGACTTTGCCAAAGGGTAGTCCCAGGTTGATGACATCATTCTCCGTGCAGCTGCCCTCAGGGAGGTTACAGATGTGAACGACTCGTCCAGCTGTGGCCTTTCTGGGTGGAAATGGCTGCAAACAATAAAAACAATCACACCCATGAATATCAAGCAGGCCGATGTTAAAAATACAGTTTATCGATATTAACATCCTGCTTACATGGCATCAACACTATGAACAGTATATACTGGGATAGTCGTGGTGGTTTTGTCCAGCTGTTAACTTGTGAACAAACCTGCAAATCCTAAAATGACCTCTGAGATCCTGAGTGCACAGGAGTCTTGTTTTGTATGGTCAAGGAATCCAGCTGCAACGTGTAAGCTAGCAGCCTGCCTTTCTATTTCTTCATGGGTACTTATAAAAGATACGTCTGTAACTACGACATTAACAGAGTTTGGTTATTTTGTCCCTTTTGACACAGCGGCGATCACTGTCCTATAACAGCACTGTCCCTATTGCTTCCAGTGATTATGTCAATACTGAAATAAAACAGAAATTTAATCAACATTTCGTCTTCGAACAGTGGGCCAAAAGCATCAACGCAACCAACACATCAAAGCCAATCAAAACCGTAGGAAACGGGTCTGTCTAACATTAGTGTAACACTATCACACCGGACGTCATGTCACTTTCCCTCCTTAAGAAGACCCACCTCATTCCGTCTATTAATAGATCCTTGGCAGTAGTGCAGGGGTGATAATGAAAGTTTACTTGTTTGGATTTAGAGACTTGTCAGCTGACCGGCCTGAGACACTTCACACAGTTGACACAAATCCCTCCGGGCTGATAGATAGAGCGACTTGCTTTGCGTTTGTAATCCAAAGGAAAGTGGGTGATGATCAATAAATTCTACCGTATGTCTTCCCCGAGACGCTCAAAAGGCCTCACAGAGAGTAGTGAGATAGAGATAGTACAGAGATGGTGAAAGTCATTTAATCTGCTTCAGTTTTAGATATTGCATTATCATACTTATGGACAATCCGTTGCTTTATCATTATCATATTTATTTATTGATTTGTTTTGGGAATCAGGATGTGAGGAGCATGTAAAGAAGAAGACTTTCATCACATTATATTGTTTCACTTTTCTTATTAGTTCCGCAGAAGAATTTACTTTCTACATTTATAACTGCGAAGGAAAATACAAACAACTGACTTAATCTATCTTTATTCATTATATACCCAGACTCTGACTACGACTAAACTACTGTTGGACAACTCGTGTTCTCCCAACATCATTATGGAAAGCGGATGTAAATTCAGAGCCTCGTGTCTTGGAGTCTTATTTCTGCCACCACTGTGCTGCCTGCGAGTTTTCCAATGGCCCTCTTCCTCCTCCTCCTCCTCTTCCTCCTCCTCCTCCTCCTCCTCCTCCTCCTCCTCCTCCTGCTCCTCTAGCAGATAGAGCTGACAGAGTTACATGTGAGTGGTGTCCAAATACCTCAGACTAGCGGCTGAGGTTTCTGCTTTAACAAGGAATTTGTTCAGGGAAAATGCTAACAAACACTTAACACTGGATCTAACAGCGTGAAGTGTGGAAAGTATGATATTTAATACGCAGCCTGTAATATAATCGGAAGAAACTAAATCAGTATTCATAACATTCATACCATAACATTGAAATGATATTGTATCTAAATAAAACATCTGATATTAGTGGTTAATAAACTGACCTTCCTTTGAAAGAACACATAATCAACCGTACCGCCCTCAACAAAAGGAAGGTCTGTATGAGCCGGAACCATTGATTTCTGTGCCACAACTGATTCTTTTCAGGCCGGCAGCATTTCTACCAACATCTCTGTGCCATCACCAGGACACACAAAGGTCAGCGCAGGTCGTGGTCAATAAACAGATCCAGAAATAGTTTATGGTCTTGAGAGATAAGAAGGAACAAGAGTCTTGCTCACGACACTCACTTGTTTCTGACCTGTAAAATGTTGTATGTGCCTGGAAGCTCAGACAGTTTGAACACAGCATTGCTGTCACAGTTGAAGTTGACTCGGCCTTTGAGCGCTAGCGGTTTGTGTCAACCGCGAACCAGAGGCCAAAAGATGCCATGAGAATGCCACACTGCCACACACACACACACACACACACACACACACGTCATTCTGGTCTCTTATGGATCAAACAAAAATACAATTTGTACAATTATGCTATAAATCGCCCATACAAAACATTATGGATAGTTTGAGTAACCTGGTTTGCTCTAAAAATTGTTTTGATAGAATTGACTATGGTTGGAAAAAATCCCACAAAAAATACACAATTTCCTACCTTAAATGTACTTTTCCTTAAATCCACCAATCAGACAATAGACCCCTAGACCCCGGTCAAGAGAGATAACGGCAGAGTGCGTTCAGCCATGTGTTCTGTGCCTGAGACTCTCTCACCACGATCACCCGCTGAGCTACAGGGCCAAATGGCCTAACAACCATTTCACAGTGAGCGCTTTCCTGTTTCCACTGACAGCACGCTGACCGTCATTAGCTGGAATCTCTCCACGGGACTTGTCAGTTTATCGGTACAAAGCAGGATCCATGTGTGAGGATCCACCATGGGGGATAGTCGGTCTGGCCTCACAGATTCTCCCCACGTTCCATCGCAGCGCGCTCACACAACGATCCCTCAGATCGCTTAACCCGTCTCTCACCAGCCTGAAACGTTACACCGTGGCGTGATCACGGGGTCGTAAGGTCGGTGCTCCTCACAGCAGCCAGCTGTAATCCTGTGTTTATCTCTGTCTGAGTCATCCTGTCACATAAAGCTACTGTGTGACTTCAAGCCGGGTTGAGGAAAACAACTGTGTGCACAAGGATGCAAAAGATACGCTTGTATGCAGATGCGAATGCATCTCTGTACATGTTGGTCTCATTATTGTTTCTTTTAGCTTTCATATACAACCAGACATAAATAACACTTGGTACGTTGAAGATAAATTCTAAATGTTTTATTGCATGCGGTGGTGCTTGTGCATTTGTGTGAGTGGTCTCTGTTCAACGCAGGACTTTAACCAGTAAAACACCACCTGTTCTGCTTTGACAGGTGTGTGTTTATAGCAACTAACATTAACTCATGTCGCACAGCCTATAAATATTTTTCCACAGCTACAATAAAACTCTGTGTCATTAACCGACCAATTCAGGCTCCTGCTAAATTGGCTCCTATATTTCCTATATTCTACACGTTTTTTCTTTTTGTAGTTGTACCTAAGAAGTGGGTCCTGTTAAATGGACAAACCAAACCAAAACTCACTCACATGTTGAGGTCAGTCGGGTTTAATCTCCAGGAGAAATCTCTCTAGCTCGAGATAAACCTTTATGTATTTGCTTTCTTTTATGTTATATCAATCATGAAATATAATGAAATGTTAGTAATGCAAACAAAACAATCCTACCTGTTTTTTTGAGTGTAGAAACTGGTTTAATGGTTGTTTAACTGGTTGTATTTTTTGGAACAGGATCTGATTATTTTCTGTAAATTGGTATGGTACAGGATGCTTCAAGACCTGTAACTAAATACACAATGGACAGTGTGTGCAGAATGTATCTGCGTGCAGATCTGTCGAGTAATGCACGCGGACTGTTGAAAGCTGCATGCTGGGCATTAGAGATGGCTTTCCACATGTTAGCTGGGTCTAATTTTCACCCCACTCATCATCTGCTGCACTGGGATTTTCTGGAGACCGGCCTTCGTGATGGACGCCTATCAACAGCTGCTGTTTTTCAACCCCAGTCAGGAGGCAACACTTTTGAACAGGCCGACCAACTGCGCGGCAGCCGTCAGTGACAAATAGCTGAAGGTAAAGTGATTGGAATCAGCATAAGCATTTCTTCATTAATTGGTACCCCGACACCTTCCTAAATATAATATCTTTGATCACTCCTTAGCAAGCAAAATTTTGAAATTTGAGTAAGTTGACAGGCTGTTTGGCTCAACACGAAAATAGATATTCCTAAAAACGAATAGTCTTATAATGGTTAAATACATTTTTGTCTATGCAAAATAAATACAAAGTTCTTCATTTTATTTTATTTTAACCACCTCATGGTATGCAAACATCACTCCATGTGGCCTATTAAAATCCTGCACTGTAAGACTTTATGTGGGCAGCTGCTTCAGATCACATGAAAAAGGTTCTTTTTTGACGGTTTTACAGTAGAACACACTTACACATGTGACAAACGCATCCGCCTGCCTCCAATGGAAAATATGAATCCCTTAATGTAAGTAGCAATAACAGCTATGATAAAGCAACACATCTAACAAATTATGAATAATATTTACGAATTTTAAAATGTCAACAATTCTATCGCTTCAATTGTCATGAGACAATCATGAGACTGAATTATAATTAGGGGTAAAATAATGATATCAGAAAAGTTTCAACTTTTTCCTTTAAAGTTTCAACACTTTCCAACATTTTAGCCTCTCATTTAATGACAATATTTAGTGACACTTTGTCAACGTTTCCCCGCTGCTGAGTGCAACTTTCCTTTTAAAGAAACATGCCATATATGAGAAGTATGCAAACGTAATTAGACATAAAATATAATAACATATCATCCTACTCTGCATCCAATATTATTTAAGGATGACAGTTGGTCCTTTTCCCCAGCATTCTTCACCGCCGTCACAAAATTTGATTTATATGCCACAGGCAAACTAAAGCATTTGTCTGACCTTTGTCTCCTGCTGGGGTGAGACGAATCCTGTGTCTGCCGTGGGATAAGTCTTCATGGCTGCAACTGGCAAGTATGATGCATTAACTCCTGTGGATACATCTGTGAAAACAATTTGAAATCTGAATTTAACAATCTCTGCATATAGTGGACCAAGTGTGGGACAAAGGTATTTGTTTCCGTGCATCGTGAATGGAAATGTTTACTTAAAAAAAAAGGTATTTTTTCATTTTTCTACCGTCACAATACTTTCATATTTACTCTGTTTCTTTCTCCCCAGCAGTGACAAAATATAGAAATTGTCTTTCTTATTTACACTGTAACAAATTGCTGTAAATTTACGGTGCATTTCGAAAAGGTATCTTACGTCATAATAACTGTAACATACAGTTAAATTTCCATCCCTTGCTTGTACATTAACGGCCAATGTCATGAATAAACAGTTAAAGCTGTCAAAAGCTGAAAGCTTTTTTTTTTTATTAAAGCTGCTTTAATAAGCTGTTAAAGCTGACAGTTGTGTCAACGCACTCGTTTCAAATCATGGTTCTGAAAGGCTTTCGTGTGTTGCAGAGAAATTCACCGCCAGAATAGGTGGAGTAACGTGTTTTTGTCGAAGACGACCTAGAGAGTCACGTCTTTGTGTGTGAAAATCGTTGGTTTGTTTATTTATTTATCATAGACTTTATTGCCCCGTGCATCGTCACTGCTGCTTTTCATCACGGACACATTTGTCCCGCATTTTCCTCCACAACTTTGTTCCCCTCGACCGGCAAACCGACGTTTGTGGAGATCTCCCTTCGTGAATCAGAGGCCATCCGCGCGTCCTTATAGTCCGCCAATGACGGCTTGCATAAGCGGTCATATTTACGCATTTCTTCCGACAAAAGCTCTTCAATCTGATTCACTCTCTCGTAAACATTCTTCGTTTTAACAATGGCGTATTGTGCTATGAAAACGGAAATGTGAGACTCCGTAAAGGACGTAGTTAGCAGACCAATCGCAACCTTGTGCGCTGCGGGAGGCTTGCGTCACTTTTGACGCAAGCCAAGAAAAATGGGTTGACGCACGCAAGGGGGTGTAAAAAGGCACGCAAGGGACACGCAAGGCGCTCTGCGTTTCCTTGCGTCGCTCTGAAAACGCAGAAGCATAAACAAGGCTTTAGTTTACCTGGTTCCTAATCATTTTATGATTATTTTTTTATTATTGTATACATGCAGCATTTTTTAGGTTTTGGTTTTGGTTACAAATGTCCAACATTTTTGTCTTAAAGGCATCAAATTAACTCGAACCACTATGACCAAAATGAGTTCGGTTGTCTTTCTTTAATTTGTGGGGAATTAAATGCAAAAGTAAACAGTTATAAGTAAACGGTAACATTCTGGTATTTATAACACAAAAACAGTAATCCTATGGTAACAAACTGTAATCCAAATACGGCAACATACCGTATATTACGGTAGGGCACTGTAAATAAAACAGTAAGTTACTAGCGTCGACTGCCGGTAGATTGCAGTTAATTCACAGTAAAATTGGTTCAAGTTTATGGTAACTTACAGTAATCCATTATACGGTAACATACTGTATTCTACGGCAGTGTACCATAAAAAACAGCAAATTACTAGCACCCGCTGCCAGTATTTTACCGTTAATTGACTGTAAAGTTCACGCCAATTTACTGTAATCCATTTTACGGTGATCCATTTTACGGTAACATAGTGTAAAAACTATTTACGGTATTATACCATAAAATAACGGTACATTCCTGGCGTCCGTGCTGCCAGTATGTTACCGTTTATTTACAGTGAAATTTTTTAGAGTGTACAGCTATTGTTTTCCAACATTTGTAGACACTGAACTGAAAGAAGAACCCACAAAAGGTAACTTATGTACCAAAACATGGCAACGAGTCTCTGAATGAAGACACAATATCCACAACTTAGGTGTAAATGCTCTTTAAGGCTTCCTGCGGCAACCCACAAGTTATACAGAAGCAGAAGAAGGTTGTGGGGACGTAGACATATGTTGTGCAGATACTGTCGATTTGGTAGAATACTGGTGCTTAATCAGTTTCTGTGTAGAAAAGCATTGAACAAGTTTCACCTCTTTTTGAATTTGCAGTCAAGAGATGCACAAACAACTAATTTTGAATATTAGCTCTGTGTTGTAGTCCACCATATTTTGGATGTTCATTCGGCACACTCCAACGTATTAAAATACATTGTGTCAAGTTATGAAAACATGATGCCTCGTGTCCTCACATGATTCTAAAAATACTGCCTGACCTCCGTCTATCACTCCGTTTGACATGCTCCATCAGATAAACATCACTGTAACATGGCTAACCAACGGAGGCCCTCGTGGGGACACACGGGGTACCTGACCTTGACTTGCAGCAGAGTAGACCATGGAGTTCATCCCCACCGGGTTCAGACCTCCGTCAGAAGACCTACCGACAGAGTAGTGAGCAGCTCCAGCCGATACCACCGCCGAGCTGCAACGATCAGAGAAGGCTGATATTAGCCGCCTCTCCCCTGCCTTGCTCGCTCATATCTTGTGACAGAGCTCATATTCATAGAAATAGAAATTTAAAAACTTCAAACAATCAGGAGAGATATTTATCTGAACTGATCGGCATACTGCTAAAACTAGAACAAACCTACTCTTAACACAGCTGATAAGTCAATGGAGAAATTACGCAACCATTTAACTATAAATGCAAATATTTCACTTGTAAACAACTTGGTAAAGAACATTTTGCAATCACAACCTACTTTCAACACCTTCTGCAAACAACTCACCTTTCGTTTGTGTACAAGGCACAGTTCTGCAGATGTAGTTTTCCCTTCACATGCTGGTCCCAGTCCTAAAACACACACATACACACACACACCATCCAAACATAGCGTCAGACAGCTTGGAATCACTGGAAGCGCACGGCTGGCCCTCCCATGGCAGGTCATACATGCCCCTGGTATAAGCTCACGGCTGAGAGCAGTTAAAGAAACAACGACTCTGATTGGTTTGTTAGTGGCTGTCCTTAAATCAAATCAGCCAGAATATATATGCCATGTTCAGGCTAAAATGGCATTTTTCTGATCCAAAGCGAGGGCATGGAAAATCTCAAGAACATTAAATTACTTTTTGTTAAACTTTTGGACAAAACATTGTCTGTTCGTCAGTCCACTCACCTTGAGGTTGTAGACCTTTTTGTCACAGATGCTGCACTGATGGGGCAGTTGAGAGGGTGTGACAGCATGGTAATCGTTAACTTGGTAGGACTGTAGTGTCCTGGTGCATGAAGATACAGTATCCTCAGTTCCATGCAGGGGCTGGTAGCACCCGAACCCCTGCGAGCCTATTGAAGCAAAAGAGGAAACCCCACTGGGATTGAACTTGGGGTCAGGGGTCGGCTCTTCTGGGTTATACAGTTCCGTTCTGGATCGAATTGGCTGCCCAGCCGATGTCCACACAGCATTAGGAACCCTATCGGCCCCTCCGGTGTGACTCAAGTCAGCAGGGCTTTTCCATTGCTCCTTATGCCCAGCGGCGTTATAAACATTCAGGTTCTGCTCGTTGGCGCTGAACGCAGCTAGTTGTCCCGGCACGTCACGCCCATAGAAATCTCTCTGAAAACCGACATTGTTCATGTTTTTGGCCTGAGTGTTGATCGCCGCGTACTGTCCATCACCAGCTGGGGCCGACGCGCCAGATGTGCCACCAACTACGTTGTACTGAAGACGTCTGTCAGTATCAGAAGGGTAAGTTGACGCAGAGGTTTTACCATACTCAGAACCATGTTGGCCCGCCGTCCCCCCTCCGCCGGGGTGGTTCAATCTCACATTGCCTGGGTTTTGGTTGAATCCGCCTCCAACCATGGCACCCAGGGCGGAATTTGAAGAGGAAAAACCAAGTACCCCTGTGGGGAAGGCGCCCTGAGGGTTTCCAACCATAGTGGTCCGTAGTTGATTGAACAGGGGTTGGGACATGGCGACATTGGAGAGAACCTGATTAAGAAGAGTGGCAGCAGCGGCTGAGTTGCCACCCTGAGCCGCTTTCAGACGATGGAGGGTGAGCTGGGCCTGGAGTTGAGCCAGCTGGAGGCTGGCTGGGGTCAACAGGAGCTGCTGGTTCTGCTGCTGAGGTCCCGCCTGCACGCTGCCCGCGCCTCCCTGGAGGTACTTCTTATCGGCGCCGTCCAAAGGCACCGCACTGATAATATGGGGGGAAAGAAAGTCAACTTCACGTATCCCAAAGGACAAATCCACTCTTGTTAGATCTCATGGAATAGCTGAGAGAGCAAATGCTAATATTTGCGGCCTTGTTCACATGCATGCTCCCAAATTGTCAATATGTTCCTGTAGCTTATTTCCACTCCTCATAATAAATTGTTTAAAGCACTTTAAACTGGGGCAGAACAATGTCGGACAATTCCAGCAGGTGACAAAGCACTGAGGGATTTTGGAGACGGCAACTTACAACATTTCAACACGCGGAAAAACACTTAGATCAAAATTGTTCTCTAACATAACTGGTTGTACAAGATATGGAGGTATAGGTGGTTGATTTCAGAAGGCACTGTCTATTAGATATTTTAGACAAACTACACTTAATTCTATTAACAAAGAGAATTAGTGGCGGGTGATTTTAGATTTCCCATTACATGGTGTGTAATGCGGCATTGAAGAGCAATGGATAGTCATTTCATCACACAATTTGGGCATTAACTTGTAGTTTCAGCTCCCCATATTCACAAAATTGTGTTGCCCACAGCTGCAAATAAGGAGAATGAACCAAGAGATGATCTCAGGCTTCTCAACCACTGATGAGTAAAATCCCAACAAGGTCACTGAACTAAAAGAGGCAAAAACGAGACCGTCGAGGTAAGTAGACATCAGCTTCTTTAGACCAACTACATTTACATTTTAAATAAAGCAATGCAAACATCTGCTGGCGGGAAATAACTTTTAAGTTGCAATCTCTGCAACAGCTCTTACTTAGTTTCAATTTTAAACACTATAACAAATAAAGTTCATATATTGTTTCAAAGACTTCTAACCAACGTATATACAAAAAGATGGATTTCACTTTGCACAGAGCGGTCGCAGCACATCTAACATACGCCGGGTGTTGCAACATAATACCAATTTAGTCGTTGGGCTCGAAGAGGAACAGCTGTATGAAGCACGGTTCAGATATCAATAGGTTAGCTGCTAAAGCGCCCATTTTCCTTCTGTACACCAGGTTCTTGCAACCCAAACTGTTAATAGAACCACATCTCCTTTTTTCACAACTCCTTTTTATTAACTTAGTTTACTCAACTCACATCATCTATGTTAAGCGCGGCCCATCTAGAAAATTGTGCTCCCACCAACTCTGTTAAAAGGTACCGCAGCAGAGATTAGACGTGGAGAATCCTAAATTTCTCCAGAACAAGATTTCTTGCTACAAAGAGACACTGATGCACTGCAATAGATATATAGATGGACAAGAGATGAAATACTAAACTACATGAACTTAACTTAACCAACTATATAAACAATACTGGGAAGATTGTTACTAGAACGGTGTTACGGTAGTGTGAAATATTTGGCCAGAGGTTATTTATTATTTATTGTGTTATCTGGTTATTACGGTTATTTGTGATCACGTTACCACAGATTATTCTTAAAAGGTTGTAGAGAAGGATTAATACAGGGGGAGGAAGAAGAAGGATTTTTAAATATAAATGTGTGCCACTGAATCTTGCAGAGGATTATCGCCTCCAGGTCGGTCTTCCTGCTGGCTGATGCAGTGGTGATGTGCTTTTGCGATGACATTGCCACTTCATAAAGTCATCATATAACAACCATAATTTATACTCCAGGTTATACCGAGCTATGAACTACCCAGCTGTCAACGTATGGTCAAAACCCAGACATTCAAAATGAAAAGTAAATGAAACTCAGAACTGGACAAAACAAAAGAATATGAGGAAATCTTCATTTTTTAAAGCAACTCTGTATATTAAATAAATTAAGCTAATGTCCTTTAATTTGTTAAAGTTGTTACCAATTTCACACATAATTGAGGACATAGTACAATCTCTATGAAGACTTTATTAAAGGCAGTTTAGGCCAGTAAACGTGTTCCTGAATGCTGAAAAATATATTAAAATGTTATTTCAATTTCTCCTTTCACATTTTTTGACCATAAATGTATTTTTTTCTTTTTATTTTACATACAATTGCATTAGTATTTCTTTCAGGAAAAAAATAGGCTTTTTCCCCCTGAGCTTTATGTATTAACAACATTATTAAAATCCCATACCAGCGCCTAAAGAACTACACGTGTAAGTACGATAACTGACTGTTGGACGATTGACAGCTCTTAGTTTCAGTGCCGATTGTACACACTCTTAAGTGAGCAAGCATGCTGATGGAGAGATACACTTACGCCATTCCAGCGGACGACTCGGAGCTATAAATACTCGAGCTGCTCTCTGACCTCCCGACACACAGCGTCCTTAATAGACTAATATGGACTCTTGGGCACAATGTGGTCGATAGACGCTTTTAACCAATCTCGTGATGAGGAATAGACCTCAAGGTGAATGGCCAGACGGAAAAATAAAATTAAAAACTCCACTGTCGCTGGGATTTAAAAATCTTATTTTGCAATAGCAGACACAGCCGAGGCGCCTGGACACATGTCCACTACGACTGCTGCGAAATATCTATACCATCAGTTTTTTGTTTTCATTTATAATACAATTTAAAAAATGCTTAGTTATAATACACTATTGGAATATTTGTAATCAAAGACTAGCAGACAGGTGAGCTGTGTGGAGTACCTTGAATGTGTACCTTAATTTACATCCGAATAAATCAATAATTTGCTCTTTCTGTGGCCGATATTTCCTAACAATCTTTATCTTGTCTGTGATTTTTTTTAACCTTCTATGTTTTGCATTTTTTAGATAAAACGCTTGTCTGCTCTGCATGTGTTACTGTTTCTTTTTGGAACTGAACCCCTGACAGCTGAAAAAAGCCTCTCACAGTCAAAGCATTTCATAGCAGAGCTTATTAGCTCAGTCTTAAGAATAGTCGCATGTGGCTGTTTAAATAGTCCAGCACATGAACACATTTCTGTTTTCTTTCACACTTTAAAAGCAAGAAAGGTTTCGAACAACGTTAAAAAAACTATGCAATCTTTGTATCGTTGTAGGGAATGTACAATATACATTTTATAATAGCAGAATTTGTCTCTTTTCCCTTGCTTAAAGGGATCAACACTATCGGTAAAATTAAGTCAACTTATCTATAGATATATCCATCTTTTTTTCCCCATTTGATCTAAGTGAAATTGTATTCTTTTTTTTTTACTTTGACAAAGTACACACTACATGAACTTGGGAAAGTATACATTTTACACTGAATTAAAGTGATAATTCATAGCCTCCTAAATAAAATGTCCAGTAAATGTCCAATTATCAATTTTCTAAGCCTAAACCTAGAAATTATTTTTTTGTTTAAGCATATAATAAAATATCAAGGGTAAAATGGTGCTATATTTGAAATTTTAAAAGAGGTAATAATTAAATGGGAACATGGCACAATTTACTGGTACTACATACGTACTACATTTTTGAGTTTGCAAAAGAATAACTGATCTTATTATTTATAGACAGCTGACATCTGCATGGATAGAACATAACTCATACATTTAAAACCAGAAATCCTCAAAATATTTCAACCGATCTGACAGGTCAACGTCATTCAGTGCACATTTTGACCAATGTTTACCTACATATATCTTATGATGACACAGCAAACTGCATCAAATATGCATATTTTAGAAACAACTTTGAGGAACAAATCCTATCCTGTTTTGAAAGTTGAATTCTAAGCCACCTTGTCCCGGCAAATAAAAGAAAACACACACTTTCAAGATACGAGGCAGCTCCGTAGTCATAACATAACGCCACACGGGCCCAATCCCAGTAACTAATTAGAAGGATTCCTGCTGGACCTCTGCGGTCCACTTAAACCTCCATCAAAAACTATTCCACAATGTCCAAACAAACCGCAGCTCCACAGACGGCCTTAAATCAGTGCAGCTGACAAGACTTACCGCCTCGTGCCCTCCACGACTACAGGCTCCCACTGCAGAGCACACCTGCACCTATCGCAGAAACACACCAACCAAGACGGGAGGCAGCGGAGAGGACCAGGCTACACCTCCGGCACTGGACTGTGCACTGCTGGTCTGCGGCCTGACCTCCTGACGCGTCGGCCTCTGCCCACTAACGTGACATCTTCACCCCTCACGTGAGCCACGCTGCTTCCCTGTGCTACTGACCGCTGGGCAGGCAGCAGGAGACGCATGTGATGAAAAGTCACAAGTGGTCAGCATGTGTGTGTGTGTGTGTGTGTGTGTGTGTGTGAAGGGGGCCGGGGGGGACCAACAGGCACGTAGAAATTAATGTAGAGCCGTGAGTCTGGTTTGAGTAAGAAGGAAACACTAACACGAGTTACTATTAATCTACTACCATATCACATTTTTCTGCTGGTATATTGAGTAAAATGCCTCCTTTTAAAGCTGAATTAATTGTATTTCCGTACCACCGGCAAATAGTTGTTTAGTTTGTGAGCTTAGAAGGATTCTATTAGATTTTCTTTTCTTTGAGGGTGGCTGGTAATCAAATGGTATGTATGTCAATCTCATCTCAGTCACAGCAAACTAGAAAACAATACTTAAACCGTGGATTTCACAGCTCTGTGAAAGTGAACAAATAGATGACCAACTATTGCAAAAGGGAAAAGTAGAGGCGTCCCATATGAATAGATGTATCAAGATATACTGGTATTACTCTTCAGAGGATCAAATAAATACAATAATACGTTTATGTGAAATGTATTGACTTGAAAAACATCAAATGAGAGGTGTGTTATGTCAGCTTCCACTTCCCAAGTTAACATGTGCAGTTCAGCATTTCCTGTGCTTTTAAAATTACAGGTCAAATTTTAAAGTATCAACAACCTGCCCTCCACTTCACTGTATGCAGACGTTATTTTTCTTTTGAACAGTTAACCAAAAAAAAAAGTATTTTTATTTATTTTTATTTAAGTAAGTCGTTTGGCTTGTCTTAAAGAAGTCCTCCATGGTTTAATCTTTTTCTTTAGGAAGTTGGCAACCAGATTAGTTGCTATTCTGAACCGTTTGTGCCACTA